AGCATTAGTTCCTCTGGCACATTCAGTTTCTTTTTATCGAAGAAAAGAAAAAGAAAACCGATCGGGGAGTGAAACAGTAGTGCTTGGGTAATTTTAGAACTTTTTCACATCTTTCTGAATATTTTACGTGATACTCAAGTTATAGTTTTTGGCTATTTTACTCAAAAATAAAAAATTCTGTATAAAGTATCAAATAAAAGTAATTTTGTTTTTTGTTTATTCTGCTTCTTTGTAGAACCAGGCTTGATGAGTTCACTTGGAAATTAGCAAGGAAGAAAGAACTTAGGTAATAGGTAACAATGATGCTGACATTGTACAATTGGAAAGTAATCTGCTAATTAAATCAGTTTTATTGTTGCAAATATTTTGAAAAGACATAGTGCAAATGCAAGCAGAATGAAATAAAAGTTGCAGATATTCTGAAGCAAGATATTATTTAAGGAATAAAATCGAGTTTCAGGAGTTTCGATATTATACACTAGATAGTGTACACATTGAATTATATGACAAATATCGCTTGGGCATTTTGTTTTTTGATCATTATTTCTCTAATGTATTTATTAGTTGCTAGTTTTTGCCTTTCTAGATGTTCCAGCATACTGAAGTGAGAACTGAGTGCTCCTAGAGAATTATAAGTTTGTTGTCGGTAAAATTTAGATCAAAAAAAAGTATTTGATTTTTTTTTTTTGTTAGACAATTTACTCCATCGCCGTTCAGTAGTACTACCGTTCTCAGTCGTGCTATATCAAAAACAAATATGAATGATCGAGCGAATTTCGAAGTCGAGCGAGCACGTTTAGAAAAGGCAATCAGTGTGCAGCAAGAACAGATTGTCCAAGCGTCACGGGCGCTGTCATTTTGCCACAGTACACAAGAATTTAGAGGAAGTCGTGAAGAGGTTCATGAAAATTTTGGAATATTTTAATTATTAGCATCATAAAAGGTTAATTAAATTTAAGTAAGCTTTTTCGAAATGGTTATAGTGAAACTCAAAAGATATATCTCTGCTAAGTATTGTGGAAATGCAAGGCATAATTTGAGTTGTGTATCAGTTTAGAGGAATGTTTGCGAAGCTAGTTGGCTCGATTTTCATTTTTTTTTTTTTTTTTTTTTACAATCAACTAGCGCTTGTTGTTATACTTTTTTTCACTATAAGCACGAGAGAGGATGGCATTCTGATATTATGTGATTCTGTTCGGTCGAAAGCAATTATTTAATCTTATTCATATCCGCCTCTCGAAATCACACTTGTCTTGCATCATTAGGTATAACGTTATAAAGTACTTCCTAGCTTATTGGCTTGATCTCCAAGATATATCTCCATTTTAGTTGAAGTACATCTTATAAAATAATTTATGCATCTAATTCGCACTCGGCATTAAGCCATGTTCTTTTCCAGGTTGATGCACAGCGAGCACTTCTGATAGCAACGGAACGGAGACGTGCTTTAATTTTTGTGCTTGATCGGTTAATTCAAAAACATGCAACCGGAGGCGTCCAACATTCTATTTCAGATGAACCAAAAGGAAATTTAACATTTTCGGATATTTCTGTGAAGCTAATGCGTGATTTTGTCAATGGACATATCAATTACCACGATGGTAAGGAGATGGCATTAAATTATGGCTAAAGTATGTCAGAACGAATATCCTACAATAGTCTCATTGACAGCAAAATACGATGAAATAAAGTTTTAACTTATTTAGCTCACTTTCTCAAAAAAAGCTAAATTAATGGTGTTGCTTAAAAATGGTAAATAAGTTAATGAATTCGTTTCTGGAAAAAATTAACATAGGTTTTCAGCAAGTTTTTTAGATCAGCTGTTATTTTATTTCATCGTGCTGATACGATACGAAGAAACAGTCCATCATACAACTTTAACTACTAGCGATGAAGGCATTTGTTCTGGAAGACTTGAATTTCCGCATTATATCCAGTTTCGATCACTTCCTCATGATTTCAGTTGTACATTGGAAATTTTTGCTCTCGTGAGTTGTTTTAGAAAAGCTATGCTTTTCGGAAACTCTCCTTATTGGGTATTTTCTTCTACGTAACATTTACTTTGTCTACTTCTAGGTTAATTATTTTATATTCATTATCAGCATAAAGCTTTTTTATATCAAAAAAAGAAAAAAAGGAATCTCGACGTCATACGAGTTCTGAGCTCATTTGCTAGTGTATCCTTCACTTCAAACTGAGTTAGTTCTCACATCAAGTGCTATTAGAGTTGTAACACAATACAGCAAATATGGCTTACTTTTTTTCTTACATTTTAAATTCCATTTTTATAATTTTTTAGAGAACGCGACGAGAATTGCTTCGTCATGAAACTAAATACCACATTAAAAGTGGCAATTCATTAAAGAAGTCTCAGAAATCGATGTTTTCACCAGGTGATTAATCGTAGCTTGCAAAGCCAAAAAAGTCTAGTCTCTAGTCTAATATGTCGAGAATGTTTGTGCAATATACTGATAATAAAATTTGACTTTTTAAAATGTTTTTTTTTTTTTTTTTTTCAGTGTTATTAATGCAGTGACCTATACCTCCAGTTCCAGGACTAGTCTCACTCGGTGGACCATCAGCAGTAATAGATCCATCATTCCAACGTGTTGGACATTTATTACTTAATATATGCAGTGTGAATAAAAATAGATTCCATCTCTCTGACACTCTTTATCCACTTGATGGAGTCGTCGAAATGAAAGTTCGTTGTTACGCGGAAGATTGTGGCACCGTTGGTTATAAAGGTTTTTTGGTGAGTAGTTTTTTGACTTAGTTTTTTTTTTTTCTTAAACTTAATTTTTTGAGTTCAAAAATTTCAAATTATGATTAGGATATGATATTGAATAAACGTAGTTTGCGGAAGTGAACTGAAGGTTGCATTTCTTCCCTTTTATTTATAAATGATATATGTATGCCAAAGCGATATCAGGATTGAACATCTCGAAGATTTTTAATAATTTTGAAAAATATTTTTTGTCCTCTTCTTGGTTATTTCCCCTTCTCTCCGCATGTCCGCATTGTATTTGACTTGTTCCAACTTTTTTTATAGTTCATTTTTCTTAATTTCTGTTTTTGTAAATTCCAGTAATTCTCATCCCTATGATAATTTATATTTTTATGTAGTTTTTATAATTTACAGTATTATAATTTATTTGTTACAAAATTTTGTGCAAAATCAATTTTTAAAATTAATGGAATATTTTTTTTTTCTGCAGAGTTTGTATCAGCCAGTTGAAAACATTGCTTCATGGGCTCGATTCTGGTGTGTGCTTTGGGATGGGCAGTTACGATTTTGGCGATATCCCGAAGATGAAAGCACGAAAGTCAGGATTCTAATCTTAAGTATTATAATTTAACGCTCAGTTCACTGATCATTTTGCAAAAAAAGAACTCTCCTGAATCCGCATTAACAAACTGTAGAATGAATCTTTAGTTTTTTCTTTTTTAATTGCTATTGGTAATTTCGGTTTAAAACTTTTTAAAGTAGATGATAAAGGCACTGATAATGAGCTCATTATAGATACCAGTAGTAAGTATTGACTTAAGAACATGCGCATGCAGCAAAATTAAACCCATTCCTGTGGAACGTTGCCCATATCCGAACTCAATGCAAATCGATGTCTGGTTACCTAACAACTGTGCGCAAAAGCCGGACAGAATAAGGTTAACTTTCTTCATTCCATTATTTAGATTTTGTAATCTCAATGAAGCATATAATTTGAGTATTGAGTATTAAGATTAAACAGAATAAATAAGACTGAAAGATGTTTTTAAGCAGGCATTTGAGCAGATAAAATTCCTGCAATTAAAAAAAGTCTGCATTCAACTGTTTCAGAAGTAGCGAAGGTGATCATTGCTGTGAAAATTTATGTTTATCGATCTAGCAAGCATTTTCGGGTGAAAATCGAGTGTTGATTAAAAAGAGGAAGTAGGCGAATTGCTTCACTTATATTTCTCACATATTCTTTTTTTTTCAGGATTCTAATGGCAGCGGATCGAAAAGATGAAATGCATTCGTGGCTTAATGCAATGAATATCTCACTTCGAAATTTAACACTTTGGTCATGCCCATCGTAAGAGGTGTCCTTTCATCGTTTCTAAGTAACTATTTAAGGGCTTTTTACATCATATGGTTTACTAAATTTATATTACTGCTAGAAGCAGATTCCACATAATCACTCCCTCCAGTTTGCTATTCGTACTTATTAATTATACTGTTCCGTGAAATGCTCAGAAATTTTGGCATATATATAAAGTCAACGTTTTTAAAATATGTCCAATGTGTATGAAATATATATTCCAATTGGCTTTATCTCATCTTGCATTCTCTCTCTCTCTTTGTTTCTTTTCTTTGAAATGTAATTCAGGAATTGCAAAGACAGAGATGGTTAATTGTCCATGAAAATCACCTGATATAGGTTCACTGCTGCAATCTCCAGAAATTGAATGACGGAACTCATAATCACAGGACCCCTTAAGTTGTTGATTCCTCTATGATCCCTTTTTAGAGCTGTTCACAAGAACTAGAAGAGCTATTAGTCTTAGGCAGTTTCTTCAACTTATCATTGTACCATCAAATACCCTGACTTATGATTAGAATTGTATTACCTAATTTCATTTACATGTAAAGTGGTCATATAAGATCTCTAGAGGATTGAAATAAAGGCTTAAAACTTTTTTTCTTTTTAACTAATAAAAAGAACGATCAAATCTTCAATGATGAATCTAGATCTAGAATGTGAACCCACTTCATATGAAAACGAAACATGCGTATAGCGTCTTCATAGCATCACTAACATCATGATAACTGTAAGTCTGCACATCCTGATATGCACGAGAAACTTCTACTCTGTAGTTCAGCTAAGCAGCGTGGAAAAATTTCCAGTAATTTCTCATGCATTGCCAGTGAATATGCGAATGTAGACATGTCGGCACTTGACAAAACGCTTTATTTCAAGATCAATTCATAATTTGTACATGAGGCTCATTAACGACTTTTATGCCAAGTACTGATATTCATCATTCTGATCAGTCCTCTGAATATACAATTTTTCTATGAGCGACTCGATATTCTTCTTGATGAAGTTAACATCCGGTGTAAAACGAGATTTGGTTTGTTCAATTACCTATTGATTAAATAAATTTAATGAGCAGCGAAATAGTTTGAAATGGTTACATTATTAAGCTATGGGTTTTTCCCGAAAAAAATTTTAATGCAATTACCGATTCCAGCTTTACATTCATTTACTTAACTTTGCTATGCTAAGCCCTGGACTTTCTTTTACAGTAATACAATAAAACGAACGAACACAAAAACATGAACTTACCTCATTAACTAAGGCGGCATGTTTCAACACCTTTCGCGTTTTCATTATGCGAACAATAGTACATTCCATATAATATTTCCGATCCTGTTGAGCAGTGATATTTACATGCTCTGCCTCCTTTTCTGCCTTAAAATATAAGAAATTTTTCAGTGATGAATAATAAAGGTCTTACTGTTCATACTAGACAGACCAAATAACCAAGCAGTTCGTAGGTGGTGACTCTTTCATGAAATGCCATACTTATTCTGGCGATAGCAAACCTTGCTTCTTGTGAGGTGTTTCCTCAGTTTGCCATTTAAACTGTAGAGGAAAAAAACTTACTGCAAGAAATTTTGATCTTGGCCTTTAAGCAGAGACACAGAAATGCAGTTAAAAAAAAAAAATCAAGACCTATTTTATTCTTCACATTCTTTTAATTCAGCAAAAAATCTGACAACCGCCAAAGATTTTTTTCAGAGATAATTTCATTTGAATTTTTGCACTTAGTTTTTTTATACGGCAGTTGCTTCGTTTGATTTCAAAGCTCTAAAGATCCCTAGGCTCTACGAAAACATTGAGGTTTTCGATAGTTCTATGCTTCAAACTTAGAAAAGCAATCGGAATAATATCAATAACTTAAACATAGCCAATCTTTTTTAATATCTTCTAACGAAACTTTTTTTAACCTAACACGTTTCACTACGAAAAATACATTAGAAAATCTCATCCATTCCATCATTTTGTTTCTCCCTCTAATACTAAAATATTTCATGCTCCTTAAGTGCACTTCATTGAGAACTGGAGAATTGTGTTTTTTTTTTTTTTTTTTTGTAAAATATTACAAAACAAAACCCAGTCATTCAAATTAAATTTGATGCACTGTACACAGCTTAATTTGCGAGCAAAATCAACAGGAAGTGCAAATAACGCACATCAAAAATTTTCTGCTAAGTGAAAACCAAACTAAACAGAATATATATAATTTGTAGTTTAAAGGGCTTCACTTACATGTCGCTGTAATTGTGGCACCAAAACTTTAAACCGAAGACGTTTCGATGTCAGTAACAAGTTGAGTGCGACTTCATTAGCCTCATTCATTTCCTATAAAAATATGCAAAAGAAAAAAAAAAAAACGATTAACTTGTTTCTCTCGGAAATTTGCATTTTTATTTCATTTCATTTCAATTCAAGACTCAAGATAAACTCAAAAATATCCTTCAGGCAAACATGTGTACTACAAGTTCGGCTATATTGTGATCGAGAAACTTTTCTTGACCACAGTAATTCTTCAACTAAGGTCAATTCCACTCCTCAACTTCAACTCAAATGCTGAGTTAAATTTTACCTTTAAAATCAGACAAATATAAAGTTGAAAAGTTTCTATGAAGATTTGTCAGACTTCTCGTGAAAAAAAAAAAAAAAAAAAAACACCTTTTTCACCATAATTAGAATACCAGAATCAACCAGTGCACGAGCATTTCGGCTAAGTAATTCATCTGATAAACCAGTTGCTTTCTCGATATAACTTAAAGTTACCGAATCCCTCGTCTCAAAACACAACAAAATTGCTAGCTGGTGGACGGACATCGTCACCTGATACATTTTGTCCAAATAGTGCAATTTTACCTCAACTGAAAATTAAAAATTCTTATCTCCATATTATCCCAATGCAATATGAAACATCCAAAAATCTATGTTTCAATATCCAATGCACATATCAAAATATATATTAAAAATTAAAACGACTTGTGGTCAAAAATTTATGACATAAAAAATCTGTACGGCTTTCCTTTATCCACATTTTCTTTACTGGATTTTTTCGTCGAACTAATTAAATGTACTACTGCACTACTAATTAAGAAATTTTAGAATTCTCGCTAGTCAATAAAATACTGGTAGAATTGAAATGACTTTTAAAATACGTTTCTTTGAAACTGCTTAAAGATGTATTCAGGAAGGAATCTAAATACCGTCAAAACAAAAAGCATGACATGAAAAATAGTATGTATTAAAAAACACTAATGATTTCACTATGTTTTAACCACGTATCACATAATATTAAGCAAATAACTTTTGCTACAAAATATACATCTACTTGGCTATTTTTGTTTCTTACAAATAATCTCATATTTTGTCCAAAATTTGCAATTATTTGAACTGGAAAAATTAAGGTGCTTCATACACTGCACGAGCTAACCACTTGCAAACAAATAATAATTAAAAATAACAACTTACAAAAAATAAAAACAATTTCGGCGCGAATCTCTCCAAAAAGTCATAAAATTCGTCTTTCTTGTCAGACAACTCATATTTTTTTGTTCAAAATTTGGAATAATTTAAGCTGGAAAAAATTAAGGTGTTTCAAACACCTGCACGAGCTAACCACTTGCAAGATTGAAGAGCCATGTCAATTTTCGACCATTATGCGATGCCTGATAATATCTTTCAAAATGTTCAATAGATGGCAGAAGAACTGGAGGGACGATAAAACCCGTAACCTGAACAGCGGTTGTACTATCTTTCCCATCCACTCCTTAAAAAAACGCAATCACATTGTTAAATGAACCCACACTCATATTAAGTAGAGACAAAAAGTCTTTGAGGAAATGTATACACTTTTCTTATATTAGCATAAAGAAAGCTCCTGTGCTCAAAACAATTTTTGGAATCACCTACGCTCTTACTGAAACAAAAAACATCTTCCTGAAATAAATCAACACCTGAAAATACATAAAAATTATGTAATTTTTGAAATTAAATCAACCGGAAGTTGGAGTTGAATTGGGTGCTGATAATGGCCATGCCCCCGCTTGTAAAATCAATACTGCCATCTGGACATTCAGAGTAACATTGCTGACGGCACAATGCTGAAAAATTGAATTAAATGCACTTTTCTGTGTAATATACAGACTTTTATCTTAACAATAAGATAAAAGAACCACGTTTTGTCGCCTTAGAAGAGCGAAAATACCTCTAAAATAGAGAATACATTTCTTCCAGGCTTCATAAATAAGTCTTTTGTGCTCATTGTTCATTACAACGTTATATTTGAAGCCGTAGTTTTAAAATGAACTAATAACACCATATTTATCATCATTCACTAACTGCAAAAAAGAAAGATAACTGCAACATTGAGAACATCAGGATACTCATAACCACCGCTTGATCGGATTTCACCCTTCACCAGAAATATAATTCTGCATAACACAACCTGTCCGATATTTTTCAACCTGCATTTGCAAAATGTTAATTTGGCATTTCAAAAAAAATAAAACAACTTACACTAACAAATTTGTCCGTAAGCTCATGACTCAATCCAACATCTGTAAACATCCGCGAGAGTTTACTCGTAAATTCAAATCCGCATGCTTGCTAGAAATATTCATCATCATATATTACAAATGTTATTTCATGTTTTGATAAATTTGATAATTTCTAAAAAATATACTCCAATAACTTACTTTCAGTTTGTTAATCATCGATTCTTCAGCGTCCTTCGAAAGAGAAGCATTGGTAATTAGACGGTTAGCTAACATTTTCGAGTAGAACTAAAATCAAAAAGAAAAAAAATGCTGCCAAATACTGTAAAACATTAAGTACATCACAAATGCCATAGTATCACAGTGGTTTCAACACAGATATCAAATTCAACTTGCAAAAGTTTCATTTTCCCAGTAGCCATCAACTGAAGGATTAATCTACATACAAATAAGAAACGCGATTAAAAAAAAAAAAAAAAGAAGGTTAACTATAACTAGGTCATGCACCGAAACAATAAAATAAAATGTAAAAAAAAAAATTCGTCTGTAAACCGACTGTAATAAGATTCTAAAAGCATTAATACATTCTAAAATAATTTACGCTTATGAAAATAAAAATATGGAAAAATATCGACCTTTTGAAAAATGTCTTTGTCCTCAATATACCGAAAAATAATAATTGCCTGTGTTAGTTTTGTATCCAACTCACCGTCACTCAAGCCTTTGCCAGATTTGCGTAGAAGCGTGTCAGTATAACGAGCAAGCTTAAAAAAAACATAAATTATTAAAAAATTTCCGTATTTCCTACCCAAATACAACTGTAAATGCCAGAATCACCGATTATTCAATTCAGTTTGCAAAATGAACAATGCCATCTACAATAAGCTATTGGTAATGCATTAAACGTCGAAATAAATTACTTGCGACTGGTTAAACTATGTGTATTTGCTAACATCAACGAAGACTGCATATTTCTCTTAAAATCTTTTAAAACTTTGAATTTGCAAATATTTTCGCGTTCAAGAGTTTTGCACAAAATATTGATATCATCTAAAGAAATTTCCTTTGTTTTACCCTTTCTGATGCTTTTGGTGCCTGACGTGGGTCGTCACGGTAATTTACGACAGCTTGAAGTGCCTGGAATCATTTAACAATGATACTAAAAAAAATATGGGACAGATTTAATGAGTACACTAAAATAAGAACAGGAAGACCAGCAAACAAAAACGAGCTATCATTCTATTTCTTCCAGCGAGATTTCTAACCATAACCATGAAGTATCATTTCTAGTAATTTCTAGCTTCGCTTTTTATTTTCAACATTTGATTGCAAAACCATTTGCATGAACTTAAATTTTATTTTAATTCAATAGTCAAACTACAATATTTTCCAAGAAATACCTTATCCAGAGCTCCAACGAAATCGCCATCGTCATAATAAACTTTCGTAACCATTGAAGAGAATCTGTTATAAACCTATAAATATATACATAATTGCAAATATGAAATCGACAACAAAGATTGGGTGCTATCTGCTTTATACTTCTTCGATTTCCTGATTTTCTTTTTCCAGTTTGATCATATTACCCATCTCTTTCTCTTTCGCTTTTAATTTAAAAATTCAAATTGGTCCTCACCCTGACCAGAGCATAGCAGTTCCAAAGCTCCGATGTAGAAAGTCTATTAAACCGTGGAAATCAGTTTTAAACAAATAACAATCAAGAATTAATTGAAACAAATTTGATACTTTTCCACCATTTTTCTATGATAAAAAAGGAGAAATTTGAATTATTTCCGTAAAAACTTCATGTGGCTAATGCAGTTTGTACCTTTGATGAATGAGTGAAGGGAATGAAATAAAACCAAACCAAAGTTTAGTTTTATCCTACAGAAGTAAGGCTTGTCCTGAACTTCTCTTCCCTCATTTTGTTTGAAAAGCTAGGAAATTACGTCCAACATCAAGAACAATATATACCTACTAAAAACAAAACATTTTTGGTGCAAGAAAATCACTTATTGCTTGATATTTCTCCCAGAGTTCTGCAAACTTCCGAGGATACGATTCCAACAGTATATAAGATACGGACATCATAATTCAGCCAAGCTATTAATTACAACTGAATAGTTCTTTTATGATAAATACTCATCACTAAGGGGTTCCAAAAAGGATTGATAACGACAATAAAATTGTAAGTTATTTAAGTATAACGATGAGAGCAGAGATGAGAAAAATACAAAATCTAAAGACACATGTCTAAAAAAGAAACAAAGAATCATAATATTTGTGAATCACAATAACTTTAGATTTCTACATCTTTTCATTAGTAATAAGCAATGTTATACTGTAGTTTTCTCGAAATATAATACAATTAAAATATTTTCCTAAGGCCATATCAAAGTCTCACAAATAATTGCCAAGATTATAATGTACAAAAATAAATGCATTTCTACTGCTCCAAATAATACATCATTAAAAATTTAATATAACAGAAGAGCAACAAGTAAATAAGGTCAAGAAGAATAATATACTATGCTGATAGGCGATATATGTGAGACATATGGATTGGACGGCGATTGTGTAAAGTAACAGCAAATAAAAAAATATGGTATTACGATACATTAAATCAACAAAATAGACCTGTCACTGCAAAAACCCATAGATCGTTTAAAGCCTTTTTATCAAATATGCTGCCAGCATATCCACCTCGTTTGAAATTTTTTGTTCTATGGTCATGCATTGTCAAGTGTTGATAACCATCATGCGTTCATTTATCTTTACTACTCACATATCACATTCAATTCAAGAACTTGCTCTCATTTATCACCTCAATTAGTGTATTTTCACCAAATCAAGCTGATGCCTGACGTTGAAATTTTTGGAGAGAATTAATACAGTAAACTTACATATACTTAATAGAATGAAATGAAGTATCAAGTTTAAGTCCATAATCATTTTGCATTAAGTATTTGAATCAACTGCTAATATAGGTGAAAGAATATAAACATAAGAATATATATGTAATAAAATTACCTGCAATACATTTTCTATAAACTGCTGGGGAATGTTGTCACCATGCATATCTTTCACTATTTCAAGACCAGTTTTCTTGACAAAATTTTGAAATTCACGTATTACAACCGACAGCCCGCCGTTTATAGGTTTCAGAATACGATACATATTGTGAAGATCTGCAAAAGAATCTAGTCGACATATAATAAGCTAAAAATTATTTTTTTGAAAGAAAAACTTTTGAAAGACGAATATAATAACAGGAAACTCCTACAGCCAGAAAAGTACTAAAGCAAATATATTTCCAATCAGATAAGTATTTCGCGAGTTTATCTTTAAGGTATACAAAACAATTCGATAAGGAACTGTAACTGACAATTTGGAAATCAAAAAATATCAAGAAGCTTCCAGTTATAGGATTTCTGCAATAATCCAGTCTTATCCAGTAAATAAATGAAAAGATACCAGTCATGCATTCGCCTTCGATATATTCATGACAAACGGCATACAGACGTTCTTTGTGAGCATCCACCATTACATCCTGACATAATTTGGTAACTTTCTCATGGCTACTTTTGTGCAGGAAACGAACTGAACGCTCATTTTCTTCCTCTATTCGCGTAATTACCTTAAAATTATACACTTACTGATGATTATTTGGATTACAATATATAAACTCAACATCACTGCAATAAGAAACAAATTTCTGGTTCATTTTTTTTTTTTTACAAACTGTTGTGATCATTTCATTGTAATCATGCAGTAACACTAACAGATTTGTTTACTTTATATCAGCCAGCCGTCCACAAGAATCTGATTTTCTAGAAGCGTCAAGAATGTATGTTTATTATTCCACCGAATCACTACCTTCTGAACAACGATAATGCGCTCAAGTTAAATTTTACATCTTGGTGATTTTAAAACTGGAGGTCGGATTATAGTAATAATTTGAAAATAACTTTTAAAAAATAACTTACGGATTCCATATACTGAGAACAACTGAGTTCACTAAGTAATTTGTTGGACAGCACTGTATAATACTCAGTTGTTGTTTGCAGGAACTTTTTTTCAAACATTTCCCGATAAGTATCGTAATTCTGCGGTAAATTTGATAGTGATTTATCTAATATTTCACGCATGCCCTCCACATCGTCCACCTGCAAAACACAAATAGCATGTCAAAAAATTTTTCTCTCGTTTTAGATATGGCCTATGCTCACTTTTCGCCTTATTAACATCATTGAAAGGCAACCTTTTCCTCAAATGACTGGATCTCATCCAACTATTTATACCTAGAAAATGAATGAAACATCGATAATGACGCTCCACATTTGCTAATTTTTTTTTTTAGATAATTAGAAAAAGTTATCTAGAACTAATCAACAGTATTTCAATACAGTTAGAAACAGATACAGGAACGAGAACATAAGAAGTTTAACTTGCATACTTGAACAAAGGACATGATAACACCTCGGACAGTGTCTACTGGAATGCTGTTTCTTCCTTCACGATCCGCAGCAATGGCAGTTAATACATGACCAACCAGTCGCTTTTCCATCGGATCTATTAATTTTTTACGCCAAATTTCCATTGCAAGCTATAAAGCAAGTATGAAACACATAATTTATGTCTTATAGAAAGCAATTTTCTCTAAAAATTAGAGAAGTACAAAACATTAAAAAAGAAGTATAAATCGCAAATAAGCAGCAATAAACCATTAATGCTTTAATCCTTAGTTTACGGAAAACAAGCAACAAGCAAATTGGAACAAGCTGAAAGCTCTATAATCTAGGTAAACTAACAATATTCTCATGAAAAAAAAAAATGAATACGAAGTCAGAAACATTATCAGCAAGGATGAAGGAATGATTTTGATCATCACAACGCATCAAGTCAATTAGCAGAAGAGCAAAACTACTTTGATCATAGCCTAAAAAGGAAAAAGAAAAAATGTAATTTGATAAAAGGCTAAAAAGGAATAAAAAATGTACCAAACCAATCTCCTTGACATCTTTTTGTGTAAGATATTGACTATAAGCTCCGTATCCACCTTCAATTTCAGTACAGCGCTTAATTTTGATATACTGCTTATTAAGGTACCTTTAAAACATGTTAACAAATGTAATCGTTTAGAGGTTTTACTTTTGCATTTCCAAGTTGAACATCTCTCATTATATTAAGAGAAAATGCATAATGAATAAAAACAAGAATCAAAAATATGTGTCCACAAAAACAATAAACGTTCGACAGCTTTTCATTTATCAGTTAAGCAGTTACTTACCCAAAAAGATTGTGAACACATAATGCTCCTTTATAATATACATTCCAAAGTTGGCAGTAGGTATTAAGAAGGTCAGAATCACTTGCTGAGTTTATCTCCTAGAAAAAAATTCATATGTAGAAAGAAAAAAAATGAAAGTACAGAGAAGTTAAATGAACTGAGCAGACAACATACAAACGACTTCGTACGAAATCAACGTTATGGAAGTTCATATTTGTTATCTGATACAAGTTCTATTTGTTACCTGATACAATTCAGTAACATGTAATTCCAAACATTCTTTTGTTTTTCCATACAGACGTTCACTTAATGGCTCGGGAATCGCAACACATAAAGAATAGATATCACTGAAATGATTGCTGAGATACTACAAATGCCAGTTCACTTAATTTAGTCATTTTAGTCATCTGATATCTCCTGATATCCTAATAGTGTAGTAAGAATTAACGATCGAACTAACATGAAAGCAAAGCGTGATATTTCGATTATTTTCTTACATAAATGGTAATCGGCATTAAAAATTGCAAAGGATAATAGATAAAATAAAATAAGATCAAATAACATCTCTAATAATTCTATTTCAATGTTACGTATGTTGTATAGAATGGAAGATTATTTCCTGTAAAATGATTTGTGGAATTTGTATCCTAAGAATCACTTGATGTAGGAAGAATCGATCGAAGATAATGGATTTGCTTTACATAATATATGTCCATGGAAACATAGGTTCACTGGCAAGACTTAATTTAGAATAAGTATTAGCGTAATGTAAGCTACAGGAATGAATTCATCTCAAAAAAGCGGTTTGAAAAAATCATTATTAACTAGAAATTGTAGTCCCAAATACGCCGCTCCAGTGGTTGTAATTTCATGATCCTCTTGATTGAATTTTCAATGCTTTTCCAAGTAGCATCAAAATCAACTTGTTTAGGACGTAACGAGTAAAATGAACATTGATATTGTGACATCTGCATACCGCCGTCGCTTTTAGGGGTAACAATATCCATAACTGAAATTAGCAACATTTAAATTCACTACAACACCATATGTAAGCCATTGACTGCACAATTGATGCAACACAATAGATAATAATGTCGTGTAACTACTCCATTCCTAATATTTGCATAAAACTTCAAACCCAAAAAACAAAATATAAAGTAATTAATGGTGTATAGTCAACTGAAGCTCTAATGCTTCACAATATTCTTGTCACTTGGAATACAGTATTTTGTACTATCAGTAGAAATCATCACAGAAAGGAGAGAAAGATCGATGAGGAGTAGAGTTACTAACCATAATCTAGCATTTCAGTACGTCATCAAATATGGCAACTAGATCCACCGCGATGAAACAAAGCTTTGTTTATAGAGAACACTTTTGCACGACCATTTAAAGCGATAAAAAAGTAACAGTGATCTTTGACCAGTCCAAGAGTACGAAATTCAAGTTCTAGTGGAATGAATGGAGGCCAAGAATACAAACATGATTAATAAAAGAGATAGGGTAGTTCATGCAAGACTTCTTCATTGTCTTCGATGACTTGAAGTCTGTCACCGATATATCACCATCATCAAAAGTTATGCTGTCCCCACTACACCTCTTGCCCTGCACCTCTCAACATTAAAACCCAACACATCCGAAGTACGGCTCAGGAAAGGACTGGCACAAATGAGTAGCATACAATTCCGATGCAACCAGACTTGGACAAAATTGGACTGAATCTTCGAGTCTTCTTAAAGCAGTTACCGTGAGCCGTTTCGCAAACGAATAAGAGCGCATTTAGTCAGGTTTTTCCGATGCATAAAGAATATCAATTTTATTATTAAGCATTCTGACTGTTGGCAGAACAGAATTCAATTTTCATCGTAAATTCCTCTAAAACTGACGTCAATTTTTTTTTTAAAGGCACTCACATTTTCCGGTTAAAAAAATCCTGAATAAACATTGTAATGTAATTTTTATTCAAACGTATAACGTAATTTTTAACTGAAAAAAAAATCAGAATGTTAACATGAAGAAAAAATTACAAAAACTTCTGTGGAAGCAACCCACAGTGTTCGGCAAATGAGAATCAAACAAAATTGCTATCCAAATCATAATAGGACGTCATGAAACAAGACACTTCAACTATTCTTTTAAAAGTTTTAAAAGTAAAGTTAAAAAATAGATGCATGCACGATGAATACATAAATAAGTATAAACTGAAACTGACTAGTTCTGATGAAAATGAATGTGACGAAGTGTTAAAATCAAACCTGACCTGTCCAGATGAAAGTTGCGTTAGCAAAAAAGCTATAAGAAAAGTACTAAGATAATTTAAAGTACCTTAAGAAACTGCTTTTAATGAGAAATATTTAAGATTACAATTTGCCGCGAAATGTTTAGTTGTTACACATCGGATGACATCGTTGCATCGAATGATCCAAACCGAATATCACACACTGAACAACCTAATTTTAACTGGTTGCTTTAAATCTGTAATTTTCTTGCGAAGGATAATATCTTACAGCAAGCTTTTCTTGTACATAAACTCTCAAAACAGGGCATATTAAATCAGAGAGGTGTAATATTTTCTGACATCACTAATTTTACTTCAAGTTTTTCGCCTTCTGATGTATTTCGCTCCTTTGTGTGCAAACTAGGATTGAAAAGAACAGAATTTTTCTCCACAGGAAAAAACGTCAGAGTTACCCTGCAAATCGAATTTATGAATACTGAGAAATAACGTTTAAAAAAAGACCCTTTGTTAATCGACGACAAAAATAGAGAGTCCTAGCAACACAAGTAATATACTACATTGAACACTCAATACATTATATTTATTCGTATTACTAGGGCTCCTAATTTCTTTGGAATATAGTGTGACTGTTTGTCAAACACTACATTTCAGAAAACTAGATATCTGATAATGTTTAAGTATTTTGATCTGTCTTTGGTGAGCAGTTATTCTGTCTTCATATCTAGCAAATCACAAACCTTAACACATGATAATGTTGTTTTCGATAACAACCTATCCATGAATCCCAATACTTCTTTCTCTTTGATAGCTTCTGATGACAAGTTAACATTAAGTTGTTCTCGAACAACAGGATGTTGATTAGTTCCATAGAAGTGAACTTCAGTAATTGCTAACTGTTGGCTAAGTCTAAAAAAGAAACCAACAGCAATGTTTTCGCCGGAACCAAATTTAAAACAAAACAAGTTGCTTAAATAATGGAAATTTGGATATGTTGCAGTGTTGAAAATAACAACTGCAAAGTTTTGTGATTGAAAAAGACAAGTTTACCTAGCAGAAACTTTCACTTCCTGCACATGAATCTCATTCAGAATGAAATCGAGGATGTGCTTCACCTGCACACTGTGCCAGTCCTCTGTCATATGTCTGGTAATTCGCACAGTGAGCCAAGTACTTAAGCTGAAATTTTGTTCATATTTTTTTTTGCGATAAAAAACGAATGGTTATGGTTCTGCTTTTTGATCTGGATCTCATTATTATCTAATCCCTAATTTTCTAAGACAGTTTGCAGGTTTTTCTGAAAGACGGAAAAGAGATGCAATTCTTTTTAAAAACTTGCGAGAAATCAAGTCCATTCATAACAGAAAACAATATAGAAATAATCTGTACATTCAAAAGTTTTTAAATAACGGTACAATAAAAATATAGCTACAAAAAGTAAACGTATTCACGAACCAAAGACAAAATTTGAACCATTGATATGCCACAGTTAGGGGAAATGTCATATAGTGAGCTAACTGAATAACACGAAATGAACGAATGTAATCCAAAAACCAGTTCTTTTTCATTGTTTCCATTAATGCTGAAATCTCCTCATAACTCCTACAGAAATGGAAACCATTTTTTAAAGAAATAATTTGTTTTGATTCCCTCCACCTTCCGAGTTATAATTTGAAAAATAGATGTTTTTTTTTTTTTTTAATACTAACTCAATAAAAAAAATGTAAATGAACTGCTACCGCTCTGAATCGAGTGCGGTAACTGAGTAGTCTTCGTTGCAAGAATAGCATCAATATATCCAGCTATTTCTTCATTCTGATAACTGAAATAAGTAAAAAAAAATGCAAGCAAAAGAACTTTTTGCCAATTTGATATCCCGAAAAAAAAAATCTCTTTTAAAGGAAGTTTTGTGCAAAATAATAAACACAGGTTGTAATGCAAATAATGCCCCCTCGCGATGTAGGCTAGATTAATCTCAAGTTTCATGACTGTATAGATAACAAAATGATTTTCTGATCAGAAATTTGTAATAAACTAGTTGTATTCCAAACAAGTGACGAAGCCCGCAATTCGGAAAGTAATTTTGAATATGAGCTTTGACACATAAATCAACCTTTTCTTGAAAATTGCAGAGTTTGATGGCACCGCGGCATCAACTGCTTCACTTATTTGGTTGAAGTTGGTTAATAAATCAATGTCGACCGAAATACAAATTGCATTTGATGTGAATCCTGAAAATACGGATAAATTTCTACATGCCTTCCAAAAATCCGGAAGAATCCAAAATCCAGTAAATCAAGCAAATAAGTCTCACAAAATTGATACAGAAAAACCAAAAATAATGAAAGTATGCCGCAATTTGTTTTATACCATTTTTTCAGTTTGAAAACATAAGGGTTTTCCAGGATACGTTGATAAATTTCGAAACGCACAAACTAAATAAACACGTTAAGCTCAGCACAGTTTCAGCTACGCTATTACAAAACATCATTTTTCTTTTCTAACTTACCATTATTAACAAGAAATTTCAAGGCATCATTGAAACCACTTCGACACATGGATGCGCATTCTTCAGCAGATGGAGGGAAAAGACATAAAGCAGCACGATATAAATTATTTGCTGTCAATCGAATAGAAGTTCCAGCAAAATTCCATTCAAATAAGCTGCAGTTAAAAAGATTTCATGATTTTAAAATTTAAAACAATCAGCGCTAAAATTCAGCATTTCCAATATTCACAATCTATTCTAAGCTATGGTTATGCTCAGCTTAATTCCTAGAGGTTGCATAAGAAATAATGGAAGCCAATTAGAGTGTAACATGTCTTGCTCAATTTAGTACGAATATTTTAACCTTGCACTTTCTTCGTCTGTTGGACAAATGTCAGATTCACCCGAAAATGGCGAAACTGTGATGGTATCAGTGTCAGTAACCGGCTGGTTATCACTAGCACCACCATCGATGTAAATTTCATCTCGGAATGTTGGATAAACAAAGCCACCGTATACAGGAATAAAACAGCTACAACAAATTGCCTGCAATGAACAACATCTAAAGACTGCCATTCTCAGATATTTCGCAATTTAGTATTGATAAAGAAATGCAGATATAAAGATAATACCATTTTAAAAGTATCATGTATAAAAGTTATATCTATCTAAATTACCATCCCTATTTTTCATATTCCACACCAAAAAACTTTTAATACTCTTAACTACTACAATAAATTTTTCTCCATTCCTTGACTAAAAGTTGTAAAAGTTTTTTATTGTTTATTCACATTCACTAATTAATCAACCAAACATGGTCACATGTATATTTACTGATAAAGCAAACATATAAAACAACTTCAAAAAGTGACGACTCAACCCACTATCACTGCATATCGCCAATAAAGTAAAATGAAATAAAGAGAAAAAAATACATCGATGAGTTCATCTTTGGTGCAAAATTCATCCAATATCACATTTTCCATGTCACGGAATCGAGTTACCGAAATCCTCAACCGACCAGTACAAAGTTCATGAGCATTAGCTGGTAAGATAGCATTTAGTTTCGTCCGCACCATTTTCATCAAGTCAAAATCTCGATTTAGAACACCAAATGTATATGATCTTATCTGAAGATAATGAAATATAACAACTACACATAGAGCACATAAAGGAAACAGTGCCAATTAAATATACATGTTTTGAAAAGATATTATTTCTCGCCTGAATATCTTAATCATTTCAGTAAAAAAAAAAAAAAAAAAAGAAAAAGAAATTATTTTCTGAGTTGTTTCAATGACTTCTGTTACTTCAAAGCTTACTTCAGAAACGACGCTGAGAAAGAATCTCGCAGCATGAGAAATGCACACATTACAGATAACACCTGCAGCGATGATAGATCCGGCAGAGGCACCAGAAATTCGATTTTGAAGCAGCTGTGGAGCATATTCTTTAATAGCTGCACATACACCAGCATGATATATGGAAAGAAAACCGCATCCGGAAAGTGACAATGATGCCTTGTAAATGCGCTCCCGATTGGCATTCACAATCCGTACACCGGATGCAGACATTTAAGCCTGCTACAAAGATCTCACTTTAGACTATATATTAATAGCTTAAAAACCTTAAAACCGAATACGACTGAGACGAATGAACTAAAACAACTTATTCTGGAGAAATACAAGTACCAGTACTTTTATTTCCTCAGTTTCCTCCAACATCCTCTCACCACTAGTCAGAAACAAAAACAACAGCTAACTGACAAAATCAACTCAAGGATGACTAACAAACTGAAATCAGTCAGAAAGACGGCCTCAACACTCCCAGCTGTTAAATCGCAACTGATTGGAAAGGTGAATAGAATGAAAACTTTCGAATCGAAGATTTCATTTCCGCGTATCAGAGATGTTTATTTATTTGAAGAATTAGATAGGAAAGTCGGCTGTACTAAATACAATATTAGCTAAGGAGAAAAAGGAATTTTATAGCACCTCATCAAATACTTCACCTACTGTTTCTGGAATTACCTTCATTTGGTACTTCAGCTGGTATTCCGAGAGTTCCCGTACAAAAATTGAAGGTGCCAAATAAACGGGCTGAAATGCTTATAAATTCGTAGTAAATCCAGTGATGTATCAATCAATAAAGTTGTTATTGATGAGTTGTATGATGGAATGAACTGTCGAGATTTTTCTCTTCAGTCAGTGTTTGGAGGTGTGAGGATATGACCAAATGATCAACAAAGAGTGTGGCAAAGTGAATTTTAGAAAGCTGTACTGTATAATCTAAGCCATAGTATGATAAAATGTGACGAGAATAGTGGGCATAAAAATTGTTTAATTCAAAGTTTACTTATCAAGCTAAACAAGCATTTATGTTTAATCGCTTAGATTATAAATACGGTTTTAGTTATTTTTGCAATTTAACAGAATCATTTTATCTAAACAATTTTCATTTTGCAAGTTGAAAATAGAACAATTAACTCATAGTGAGTAAGGGATTGAGAGTAGAAATACTAACTCTTGTCCACAGGATGAGATATTAGACAATCAACGGTTTTGCTGGGTGAGAGATGCATAAAATTTGAACAGTTAGCATTGGAATGATGGTTGCTGATGAGATAAGTAAAAAATTCTAGTGAACCTCAGTTAATGAAATCAGAATTATAAATTAAATTTTTGAAGTCAGTATTTTCCGGTAACATTTTCGTTTAAATGTAGCAAATATGTGATAGTATGAGCATTAACTCTTTGAACAGTAACAATTATAGGTAGTGATGCACAACGACCGAATCAAAAAAAAATGTTTTAATAGAAAAATTAACATTTTACAATGAAAGTCATTAATGCATTGCTTAATGAGCGAAATTTTTAGCTACTTGAGGTTATTCCTCCTGAAGCACAGGAATAGACGTTTGAAGATAATTGAGAGATACTGAACCCGGGAAGATTCAGGTGAGATTGTATATACCTTTTCATGCTACTCAAAGATGCTTGCCTAATAAGCCATAACATTGATTATTTTTAAGAAGGATAAATATTAACATCCTGTCAGATTATGTTTATATTCGTTGAGTTCTGAAGAAATGGCAAATGTTGAACAACTGGAACACTCAGACCACTTGACCATTTCTTCTGCTTGACCTTAAAGGAAAGTTGATTTCAAATTTTCTTAAAAAACTGTATAATTTGAAAGAAATGCACTAACAATGGAATTATATGTAAGATTTGAGCAATGAAGGAATCAACTTTGCTAATGTCAAGCAGAAATTATTTCTTCAATCAGAAACCATCGTTTCTTAAAAAGAACGGATCACAAATGTTATGTGTATCGTAACACTATAGTTAATGCGTCCTTTACTGCCTTTACTGATACATTCTCTACCACATATTTCTGACTTGGGAAGGATGCTTTTCTTTTGATTTGAAATGGAAGCGATACTTTTAACAATGAGTCAGTTTTTGCAAAAAACTTTTCCTGCTATTGAGTCTTTTCTGTTTTCCACAAAATGTTTCAATTAATATCAAAATGCATCTTGATTTTGGTGCATACTTAGTAACAAGCTCTTCCGATCACAGTTTTTCTGTAGAACACGATGATGAGGCATCATTTGCAATGTAATATCTTGATATAACTTTTACTCTTTAGAAATTTGTTTATGATAATATCAAAAGTATGTTGCCATTACTTACATAACTCTACTTTCTTTAATATTAAGCTTAATTTCTTAAATTTGATTTTATAGAGAACACTAATTTAGATTTAATAGGATATCATTTGAACTTTATAAGCTAGCAAAGTTTTACGTATATATAATATATACATAGGAACCTTCAAATCATTATTCTGTTGTCAAAGTCAGATGACCCAAATCATTAGAAGCCTAGTTAGAATATCAGGATGCTTGAACCATTCCAAAATTTGGGGTAGCTAGTCTTCTATCTCCGAAGAAATTTCACAATATTGGTCCTTTAATGTAACTTTTTAATATATGTTGTAGTTAAGCTATCAACTGAATCAGTATGTACAATTAAACAGTACTAATATAGTGAACTTCTTGGATATCTAAATCAGCAGACAATTCTAGTGATCTCGAAAGGAAATAATAGTGTGTGCGGTTATTTAATGGAAATTAAAATTAAGTAGATGGAAAAGCTAAACAAAATTAGTAAAATCATAAAATGAGTCTGTTTTTTGCCTTCCTCATAGCTAGAGTACGCTGTGATCATTTTGTGTCAAGTCATTTTGTAATGATGATATATTTTGTGTTATTTCAGGGTAAGAATGTTACGTACGATATGTTATGTACTGATGTTCGCTTGCATAATTTTAACAACTGCTTCCTTACCAGTTGCAGTTGCTAATAAAAAAGATTCGAAATTTTGCTGTAAATGTACAGTGGACGGAAATGAGAGCACAGGTAAAGTTGCCACCAATTTAGAAAGTGGTTTCATCAACACAGTCAATTTGATAGCACGTTCTCTAACAGGTATTAAAAGTTGAACCGCTTTCTGCTAAAATAATGAAGGAGAACTACTGTAAACGATATATCCATAATTCTGATTTGTCCTGAACTGAGAATAATCTTGATGTATCTTTATTGTTTCTGAAATATTTTCAATTTTCAAACTGATACACTTAGTATTTATCTGAACTTCATTGATGTTAAACTTGTTTATGAGCCCCTTTGTTTATCTATTTATTTAATCTAATTAAGAATAAACGTAAGATATGCACTTTAAGGGTGTGGAGGATTGACTGCTACGATGGTCAGCGGTACTGATGGAGAATTTATTAGCAACGGTGGAGTAGGACTTATCAATGCTTATGTTGGACGTCCAGGTGCTGCAGTACAAATCCGTGTACCTCAAGTACAGTTTCCTGCACCAATCAGTATTATACCACACCAGCAGTATCTGTTGTATAATCTTCAACCATTACAATTATCGTTTTTCAACCTACAACAACCAAAAGTTACCACGCAGTGTTGCATGGTAAGTTCTGCTGTTCCTTCAGGTTGTTCATCAAATTCAACTTTGTCGCTTTCCTTTTCCAATTCCTCTATCTGTGCAGATAGCACTGTTTGTTACTGTCATAAAACATATCATCAAAAAATGCTACTGATAACTTTTTGGATTATTGAATTTATAGCCATGTCCGGACGGGAATGGTATCTGTTGCTGCACACCTGGTGCAACCACAACAAGACCTCACGATTCGCACACCTTGCATCATCCAGCTGGAGCAGAAATACCGTTTAAAAGCACTTCACTACTTGTTTGCACAATAACACTACTAGTTCTCAACCATGCTTTATGAAAATGTGCCGAAGACACCTAAGAAATTTTTTAAGTGAAAGCAATAAGAAGCAATATATTTGTTTCCTATTAAAGGATATCTATTTTCTCACCTATGCTGCTCTCTGATATTTAAAGAGTACACATATTCCCGTCTCTTATCAAATTTCTATTTTCTTATATCTATGTTAAAATCTCCATTTTGGTTTTTATGACTAACCAGTTCTACTTGAAACACAAAAACGAAATTCCGTTTCGCTAGATTGTTTGGCACAGCTATAACGTAAAGACATTTTGAGCCTATTGCTTGACGCAATATCTCCAAACACATAAGGAGCTGAAATTTAATTTTAGATTGAGAAAGTTCCTTTTTGAAATTTTGTATGGAAGTATAGATTCCAAAGCTACAAAATCATATACATCGGAACAAAGAAATTAAAATTACTATATAAAATTAATTCAACTTGTAAGAAGACAGTACTTCAGGTTAAACCAAAACTGTCGCTGATTTCAACATAATCATTTTTTAATTTCGTGTCTCATTCATCGAAGCACTGCCTCCATATGCATTGCCTCCAACTGCTATATTTCTGTCATCTTCTAATTATAATCAAATAACTTAATCCAATCAAGCAGCTATGCTGATATTTTCAGAATATCTTGCAAGATGAAAGGATCTGATAGAATTTTGCTGATTTTTCTACAACTGTGCAACTTTCTGCATCAAATTTGAGTATAATGAAAGTTTTCCCTTTCGTTGCAATGAATTTTCAGAATAATTTTTCAAGTTGCAGTTGAAAGATTTCATTTTAGTTTATCTGTTGATATTCAACCAATTAATTTTTGTAATATTTGCTTAACCGATGTGATCTTTGCAATTAAGTAACAAATTTATTCCATCAATCTATCAAATGTAATTATTTCTAAGAATTTCACTAACAACTTTTTTAAAAGAAAAATTTCTATCATATTTTATCTTTTCAAACAAATTCATGAAGTAAATTACATAAAAATAGTTCTGTAAGCTTTTGAAAACATTCGCTGTTAATATAACAGACTTGGTTCATACTTGAAAATTAATTTCAATTTATATTATTATTATCATTATTATTCAGTCTCTTCTATCATCGATCTAATCGATATACTAATCTTCTTGCACGACTGTTACTCGATGATGATACCTTCCTGTTTTTGGGATCTGAGCCTTCATATCAGATCTTAAAGATTATTATAGAACATTTTCCTCCTTATCAAAAATTTTCAAATCTTATGTGATTCGTTCCCAACCTGAAATACCTTTTGCATTTCAGATGTTAGTATTACATTTCTCACAAGAAGCTTGGTTGAAATAATAATAACGGAAGTATTTTACCCTGTCCAATTTTTATTGCATTTTACTAACTACAGGCAAGGCTGTTTTTGCCCATTCAATTTAAGCGCTGAATGCTGCTAATTCCAATATTGCTAATATATTTAGTCCCATAGCCCAATTCAAGGACAAAATATATCAAACTGGTCCTTTTCATAACACTCATGTCAATTAAATGAGCTTCATCTCGGGAAACTAGCGTTGTCACGTTGTCGCTCTCACATTACGCTCTAAAGATGCAAAAGGTCAAAAAATACTAAAACGTTATTTCTTTTCTCTTCATCTATATATGTTGGTTATTAAATTACGCAACTTCATCGATCTAATTCATAAGTAAATTTTCTCGTTTCCTTCTTGTTTAATTCATCTCTTCATTTTATCTGTATTGAAAGGAAAACCTGCTTAATAAAATTAAATGAAGTTTGTAGAGTTTCTCTCACATCGTAAAATAAACAATTATTTGTTTAGGGGTTTACGACGAATGGAAACAAGATTTTTCAGCGCAATTAGATATAGATTGCTGACTGATAAATATTACGTTTAGAATAATCGAAAGGATCCAATCTTTCTAAGTAAACTACTAAAATATTCAAAGAATGTGGATGCAAGAAATGTGAGCTCGGAATGTCCTCTGTGTTTGTGTTGAATTGCGCACCTTCTTCTCTTAACTACTCTCGAATTTCCATGTAGCTTTCAAAACTGACTACTATTCAAAAAACTTCGCTAGAGAGAATAATTATGAGATTTGATTAAACTCAACAAATCGATATTCACATAGCCATAGTGAATGAAGTCGTTCTGATGAGTGTATTGTGCGCTGGTGATTAAATCAGTTTTTAAATAAGAAGCCTTTTTACTTGCAGGTAGGAGCTTACTAGCATTTCTATCGGGCAGGCAGTTCTTACATTATCTCATCTCTGGGTATTTTCTTTCTCTATTTTCATTTCTATCTTGACGAGGCATAAATTTTTGAGGAGTTCTGTTCATTGCAATTTTATTTCTTATCATTATTCTATTTTTGTCAGTGAAATTTCATCTTTACTGGAAACACGCTTACAGTTTACCTAATGATACTTTTATTGTATTTTCTTCTCGAAATCTCTGCAAATTTTTTCATGGTTATTATGTTATTATATTACTGTGTTTTTTGTTTCGATTGAGCTTTGAAAGATTTGACTGTTATCTATAAGAATATCTATGGGATCAAATACAATTTCAGGCAAACATATTTTTGAACGCTATGCGATTGAAAATTTGTCATTGATTAAAAATTTGTTCTGAAATATTTCGCAGTCTTTTTAAATGCGCGACTATATGAATAATTACTTCATCCTCAATTTTAGCATAGTCTCTTTTATTACTTCTCGTCATTTGTAGTTAATTTCATCTCACAACTAAATTTCTTAATTATTTGCTAAAATGAAATTAAAAATCTTTAAAAGTTCCATAAAAATTATTGATGACCTGACAGTTTTATCTTAGAAAGTTATTTAAAGATGAAAGATTATAACTGGGTTGTAATCTAAATCTAAATGTAATCTAAGTTTCAGGCATAACATTCTAGTTAATTGATTGAATTTATTCGCCACCAAAGAGCACAAAGTACTTTTTTATTAAAAAACTAAGTTCTCTATAATTATTGTTTAGGTTCTTACAAAAATTTCTTTAAAAAAAATGCACAAAAATAATGTGGGCCTGCTGGTTGAATTTTTGTTGATTATGTCGTTAGTAAGTCTCGGGAAATCCGAATGATTTGAAACTTGTTTTTTGTTCGAATAATCTGGTTAGCCACGAATTAAATTATTAGTTGCTAATGAAACGTTAAGATGGTTTATATCTTCTTAGAGCGCAATAAATCTTCCCTCTTCACACATAGCACTTATACAAGTTTTCTAGATAAATGGAAAAATCTCAACTGGTTTCAGATGACAATATTTATTACAGGAAACGGACTTTCATTACGATTACTATCAGCAGAACAGGCATTGTTTATATAATTATCATTTACTTTTCGTTTTATTAAATTAAGATGTCTCTATGATTTCCTATGTTTTTCGTTCAAATTGTGCGTATACATACATATTAAAGCCATCATAAATGATGTTCCACTTCATCATTCCTTTACTGGTATGTGTTGGTTAAGGAGTAAAGTGTCTCCAAAATAGTGAAATGACATTTCGTACTTCTGACGTAACGTGTCCATTGCAGATTCTTCCAGCATTTTCTGTAATTAATATTACATGCTTCTCAAAATCTTGCTTATCGCATCAGTTGTTGTGATGGCTAATTCACTGCAATGTATATATGGCGGTCATGGTGCTGTAAATGAAAGAAGTGGTACCATAAGAGATATTAACGTTACCTGTCGGTCACAAACCAAATTCTGTTTGAAATTGGAGTCTGATACAATTCTAAGTGGAGGTAACTTGTAAAGTTTCACAGTTCTTATTGCTACAAACCAGACTGATCAATAATCGCTGTCACTAATCACTTCACCAGTGCTTTTTTAATTTTACTCTCTTTTTAATTTAAAATCACCCGAGCACTAGTGAACATTAAATGCTGCCGCATTACAGAACATGTGATAGGATTTGCTCGTGGTTGTGATCAGGAAATGCCGGGTCTATCGAAGCATAAATTTTGCAAAGTGAGATTTTTTTGATATTTTGATATTGTTTAACTTGTCTAGACACTCCAATAAAATGTCAGCAAGATTCATGCAGTGTTGATACAGTTAGTGAGAATGAAGAGTACTATAACATCGGTGGTTACCTGTTTTTTTTCAGGTTGAGGGTTGCATGAATACACACGATAGCACAGGTACTGCAGAAGTGTGTTGCTGTACCAGTGATTACTGCAACGATGGAACTCGCAGCACTTCCTTGTTTGCAGCCTATTTCAGCATTCTTTTCTTCCTTTCTTTTTTTCTTAACTATTAAATTATTTTTCCGATATATACTTCATATGCCTTAAATCTTTTGAGACGAGCGCTGTAGAAGTCTTTCAAAAGCCTTAATGCTTTAACCCTAAATAAGTATTTCAGTTTTCACGTGATCGTTTTGTTTATTGCTGCACCCAATAAATTCTTTTAATACGGGAACACTATTAGTAAGGAAACAACCATTAAAATGTAAAATTATGACAGATGAATGGATATCATATCTCGCTGTCCTAATGCAAAATTTTTATATGAATCTTACTTTTTTCTTCCTTACGTCAGGTATTTTTAATTTTTCTCCGTTCATCGCATTTCAGACCCAGTTGTATTTAAAGTTATGATGGTTTCTTGTCTGCTTCAGATGCGGTTAGTAAATTTCATTTTAGATTCGTATTTCAGATTTGGGTTTAAACTTTTTTGTAAAACAGAAGTTTCCTGAAGGTAACTTACGACATTCCCAGGTTTCCTATGGCATTTCCTTCTTTCAAATTCCTACTTTCTAATTTTTATCAGTTTGCCTACTCCTTTCTTATGAAAATATTGCCTAACGATGAATCATTTTGAGAGAAAAAGTATTTGCAATACTATTTCTGTAAATTAATGCGAAAGTTCAGTGTTGACCGATCCATCGACACAAATTACTGAGGCTTTTGTTTTAACTAATGAAATAAAAAATAAGGTTGGACTCTTGATCCTTTGTCGAAAACTCTTAGTTTTCGACAGAGTTTTGATGATAAAAGCAATAATAGCTTTGCATAACATATGCATAATACAATAATGTTTTGAAGTATACAAAGGGTCCCGGGATGATATTAAATGAAAAGTAATTTTATTATTTATAGAAATAATTGTTTAATAATCAACGAACTAAAACATTAAATTCAGATTTTAACTTGAACACTTGTAAATCCTAATTTACGCCATAACTTAGAACTTGAGGACAGCTTGGAAAAGTAGCAGGAGAATTTTTAGTAAAGGATTGAAAAGTAGGAGAAAAAACGCTATGTTAAATTTTTTTTCCTCTTTATTTGTTTCTTTGTTGTATGTCGGCATCGATCACCCATACTTCACTGAAATTTATTTGTTTAAAAGTTTAAAGTTAACAGAAACCTAACGATATTACTTGAAAATTAGATTAAAAAACTGCTCTTTAATGCAATTTGAAACTTTTGTTTGATCGTAAATTAACACTACCTAGACGCTATTATCTCACGAATGATAAATTAACCGAATTGAATTTCGGAGAAACTTTATAGAACAATGTGAAAAATATTCTCGTAAAACTTGAAATAGTGGAAGATAATGGAAAATGAAAGGTTGTTATGTTTTTATGGGAATCAGAAAGTTCTAAAGAAAAAGCAAGTATGAGACTTATCGGTATTTGTTGCTTATTCACTGCTTTTTTTTACCTTTTTTTACTACCTTATTTTTGTTATTCCAAGTAGATGAAATATAAGCAAACTGAAAAACTCAAATAATGATTTGGAAAAGAGGAGAATCGGAAACTCCACCCATTTTCACATTCCTCTGAACTGTTCAATTTATTCAGAAATGCGTGTTATAAATCGAAGGTAAAAATAATGCTAATGTTCATTGGTCACCGAATTAATACATTCAGAAAAGAGAGGCCATTTCATCCTGTACTCGTTATGCATCTGCTTCTGACCTACCTGTAGCACTTACCTTCGTCAGAATCACCTGACGATATGGAATCCGAAGCAATGTGCAGTATATGTTTAATAATTTCGGTATCTTGATTACGGCTTTTTGAAAAAATATCACGTTGATTAATTCATAGGCAAAAATAAAAGTGTCGAACGTGCTGCACCTTAAATATATATATTTGTGTTTATGAACATCACTTTTTAAGAGGAAAAATAAATGGAAAATATATCACTATTAGTAAATTTCTGACTGAAATCAATAAGGCACCATGCTTGAAACTTGAAATACCGTATCCACATTTGGTAGAGAGTGTAACGAATAGTTACTAACAACAAATTTTTATAAGAAACATGAAGACTTGCAAATCATAAAGCCTAACTATAAGGTATGGTCACGATATGATCGCATAAGCTGCTCGATAAAACATGAAATCTAAGTTCCTTTGCAAGACAAATAGATAACACATATTATTCGATAGATGGAAAGTAAATATTACGAGTTACTTTCAGGATGAATAAAAGCCAAAGATTTAAAGACTGGTAACTATTTCGTTTAAAGGGAACATTGAAATCAACACCCTACTGAGATTGAAAATATGGTTGGTACCACACATAAATTCTTACGAATTGAGAAACCGAAAATCTGGTAAAGTTGCAATGAACATCATGTATAGCAGTATCCATACTAACACTTACCATATTATATCAGATCCTCCTCCACTTTTATTAACAAAAAGATAACTCCAAATTTTCAATTTGTCTTGTTTCTTTTTTAATCTATATGTAGCCTAAAAATCTAAGCAAATGATAACAATAATGGATGCTATTAAGTGTAAATCGTACATAATAAATTATTTACATCAGTTCAACCATATAACAAAGAAAAGTAAAGCGACAAATATTCAAACCAGGCAGTATTCATGATTATATCATAGTAAAGGCATAGTTTTCATGATAATAATAATTTGCTAGAGTTACTCTTAGAAATAAATTAATGTTAACACTTCTAGGGAATGAAAATTATGACCAGTGAACAGAAATCCTTGAATAATGCAATATAAAAGTATCAAGAAAAAGAGTAATCCGAAACTGTTTCCCAACTTTTCTACTTTATCTTCCTATTGTATCATATGTAATTCTTCTGGCGTGTTATACCAATTGATAAGCTTAGGCCTGCAGGTGAAGTGAGTGGGATGCATCTTTGGATGCTTCAATCTGCACCATCAAATGATCGGATTATTTCATTCGGTGGTCGATCGTCATTAACAGTAAGTGACAGGGGTCCGCGACTATCGGTTGTTTGTACTGATATATTGTTGTCTAGATCGTTGGGGCGATAAGTTATGTAGCCAAGGAGAGTACCCAAGATGGAAACTAATTTACACACTATTGCTGAAAACAGTTCTCTGTTACATGTTAATTAAGTCACTTACCTGAACTGCTACCTATCAAGTGAAAGCCAGGGAGAAGTAAAACTGCCCTTACTTCTCTTTGAGATGTAAAATAATTCACTCTAAAATCCTATCCTTCCTTTCACAACTATACGCTAAGAAATTTTCCAGAAAAAACATACCAACAGCCATGATAGTCCAAGATAATCGATAAGGGTCATAGACTAAACAGGATTGCCGCTTCCCGCATTCCTCTTTCCATTTCAGACAGGCTGTATCGATCATCATACCGAAGAGCACTCCTCCGGGAATAAATCCTGGAAAGGCAATGCCACAGAATTAAATTAATCTTTAACTAGCTGAGCCATTAAAGGACGAATACAAATTGGAATTTGCTCCAAAAGACAGAGTTCAGTTTTACTGTAATTCGAAACAAAAAAAGAAATGATCGTAGTATAAAAGAACATGCCAAGAAGTCGAAGAAATGTCCAGTGGACACCAATACCTAAGGTGCGTTGTTCAAATGGTACCACTCGAAGCATTATCTGCAATGACCAAAAACTGTTCATAGAGAGAAAGAAAATATTATCCCACTTTATCGTTTGTGGTACTACTACTACTCTGCTCGTAAATATCTCAAACTATCAATAGCAATTTCTGCAGATTGTACTCGTTTGGAATCTTTTTCACCTGAATACAATTAAGGAATAGTATTGAATCTTGCATTTAAACTTTCCAATAAATATTCATAGTTTTTAAACATTAAGATAAACTTGGTTGCATTAAATAATGAAAATCGTTTCAATGCAACATCTTATTGCTCTTCCTCTCAAAAAATTCTTCTTTGTGAATGAATTTCAAGAATTCTTCAACTTTAAGCATTTAGTTTCGGTAATATTCTAATCCTCTTCATTATGCCAAAGTAAATATGTTAATTTCAAAGTCAGTCGATATCAATGATAGAAAAGATGCCTGTTGGGATGGGATTCCGGTAGCAAAACTGGCAACTACTGAAAAGAATAACAAGATAAGAAATAGCCACTGAGCATATCCGCATTCCTTTTCACAAAAACCTTCGTGCAAATGGTTGTCTTTATATTGCACCTCCAAAGCATACGATACCAATTCATCGAAACAAACACAATTGTCCCAATATATGCCCTTGAGTTTATAAAAATTAAAATGAATATGAATGATTGTACACAGTATACTGCATATACCGCAGTGTACAACAGAATACTCACCGATGAATTTCGTGTCCAATCGGTACAACCAGCGTAACAAGCAGAATAAAAGGTATATCCAGTACCCTTATGACAAACTGGATCCCATTTACTCGAACAATAACAATTAGCATTGCAGGTAGCATGCAGACTAGCAGTGATACCTTTTATCCTTCTGCAACACAGCTTTCAAGGTTGACTTCACGAGAACTATTCACAAGACATACTATTTTTTGAACAGTCTAACAGATAAATGAAATTTCTCACTTACTGATTATTGTAACTTAAATTGATCCCGATAAAGTCACGTGCTGGACACTGTATTAGAAAACACGGCGTCAATATCAAAGCTATCAGATGACATACGAATATTAGTTTCAGCATTCCACTGACCTTAAATTGAGTTCGTATCATGGTGAACTGGACACAAAGTAATCTCAGTAATATTGGAGGATATAGTTATGATTCATCATTTAGCTGAACTAACCTGTAAATTAAAATGACGTATTAAAGCTCCACCTAACATAACACCAGCTGCTGCAGCAAATATTACTATTGCTGAAAAAATTTATAAAAAACAGATATGCTATTTCAAAATTCTTTTTCAAAATGTCTTTATATCCGCGAAGAAGATTCGAGTTGAATCAATAAATAATTTATAGGTTCAACAAGCGAATTAAGTTTTAAACCAATAATATGATATGCAGTTGAACGTGTATGTAATGCATTAACTAAGCCACACCAAATAGTGCAGTTAGGGCAAAAATTGTAATTAGTTGAAATTAAAGTTTTGCAAAGTTAAGTTTCAAAATATTGATTTGATATCATTAACTGACAAGAAAGATAGGAAGCTTTGGTTGGAGTTGTGCTGAGCACAGCCTCCAGAATTTTTGGCATAAATGCAGCAAATCCATTAATAACAATCGATTCGAAAATACCCAGAACGATAGTGGTAACAAATGTCGGATTTCGTAAAATATTCTGCAGAATGATCCAATGAAGTATGAAGAGAATTAAAAATGAAATTAACCATTGGAAATTCTGGTATTTCTAATAACAAACATTACAACTTCTATATGGCATATCCACTTACTGTACAAATAATCACTATCATCTTATATCTAAAATACTATTTCTAGCAAACTGTTTAATTAAGCCTAAATACTAATTTCATTGGAACTTACCCAAACAGCTCGTGGTAGGTACCTAAGGTTCCCTTTTGCGATGATATCTTTGTCGTTTATTTGTGAAATAGCATGCACCTACAAAAATAAAAGAAAATCTTTAAATCATGCAGTTATGGGTAGAATATCAGAACTCAGTACATCTGTTTTTTAGGGACTAAACTTCCAAGATGTTGAAAACCTGATTGACGTCTTTCAGACGGTGTTTCTTTGCCTCTGGCAGTTCTCGAGCAAACATTAAAATCGGAAAAGCTGTAATGAAGGCAAGAATTGCTGAGCCCAGAAAACCGAGCCACCACGCGCCAACCCATCGCGGGTCCGACGAATCTTTTATCTTCAACCTGGATTTAGAAAACAAGTAAATCCAAAATGAAACTGGTAATTAAGTATTAAGAATTGGTAAAAACACGACAGACTAGTTATGAGATTAAATAGATCAGCACCCATCTATTCAGTACTCCTAAAAAGGTCAGTGCCATGTCACAAAAAGCTAGTTATTCTCAGATCATTTCATCCACATTATTGAAATATAAGAATTGGAAAAAAAAAGAAAGAAAATGTTCTTTATTCCTAGAATTTGCGGGAAGGACAAAAATACACCAGAGATACCAAAGTACTTGACGACACTAAAGTATCTAATATACCATTATAATTTCATCACGTTTTGGAAAAAAGAAAAAAAAAAAAAGTTTTTTGCAAAATAACCTACTTTGAGACATCGACACGATCAAAATCCGTATAAATTGTTAGCATAAAGCCACCAACGAAAAGTCCAATAACTGGTCCAATAGATGTCACTACTGAATGGACTGCTAAAATATAAATATTAATCTAAAATTTTTAATGGTTTCAAGTTGAATTTGAACTAGTCTGAAGATTATACCACTGCTTCTTACCTAAGTAAACAGGTGATGCCTTTTGTGAAACATTCTCATCCAAATATGCAGTGCCAATAGAAAAAAGTGGTGTTGCTCCGATACCGTGTAGTGTTTGCCCAAGTAAGAACATCAGAAAATATGGATTTAAGTATGAGGCAGAATCGGAAAGATGCTTCGAGCAATTCGGTACGAGGCTGTCTCTGTAGCATTCCAGAATTACAAAAAGAAACTCAATAAAAACTTAATGTAAGATAAGGTCCATACTAGATTAAGTAAGCTTACTAGACTAACATTTGCCAGAAGATTCCGTAGAATACAGCAGTTAATAATCAGACCATCCGTTTGTTATTTTATTATTAATGTTAACATATGAAGTACAGTCCAACTCAAAGAGAGTTGCATATAGAATTACGGATTTTATGACAGACATGTTTCACAGTAAACTGTGTGCTACTTTCAAACCTTACTGCATTTAAACCTAAATGTAGATTATAAAAAAGGGTACGTACTGTAAATTAAAACCTGTAAGTGCATTGGCCATGCTCACTTTCGTTAAGCTGCATCTCATGATACTGATAGGGTGATACCATGTAATGTGGAAGTACACAAATAAATGAACCGAGTGCCATCAGAAATGAACCTATACCTATCCAGCGACCTTTGTGACCTGTCGTGATATAAAAATGTACCTATCATTTTGATTTTCTGAGTTCAAAAGATTCCTTAAAGTGAGCTCCAATGATCGTGTCCTAATCAGTGAGAGTTAATTGCATTTATTATTTGCGTTGTACTTCATTTTAAGCAAATAAATACTATTAATTTGTTGTCACAAAAAAACATACCCGTGTTACCCCACTGACACACTGGAAATACCGTAATAAGAATTGCAAAATCGTACCAACTTGATATGATTCCAGTTTGCGTACTATAAATAAAATAGAAATTGAAAATAAAAGTGTATTTCATGAATCATGCAGATATGGTCAGTTGAATATGGTGTAATTAACTACAGTACCCAACATACCTCGTCATATGAAACCGCTTTTCAAGGGTTGATAAACCCACTGGAAATATACTGTTCACGACGAAACTTTGCACAAATGCGCAGATGCCAAGCACAGCTAACAACCACTTAGCATTGTGAAACTTTTGCAGCCATTTTGGTGTACACCTGCAACATAAGAATTTAGCAATCTCTGCTCACAAGACAGGTGAGAAGATTAAATTGACTAGTAGCACTGGTAAACAGAAAACAGAGTTTCTGGAAAACGCGCTCACTTGCCATAGCCACATAAGAATTGTTCGTCATCACTATCATTGTTAACATCATCGCTTTCATTGAGTTTCGGAGACGAATGCGTTAATTGGTTGTCCTGTACTTGGAACGATAGGGATGCGTGATTCTCCATTGGTTCACGGATTCGTTTCACGTTTAAATTAGTTCCTTTTAAAATAGAATTTTTATCTGGTGGAAACTTGTAAACTAGCCATATCAATTTTTATATCTTTTCGATTTTCACCTCATAAAATAGCAAAGATCGAGGGATCGAATCATGACTGCTGCGGTGACTGCTTGATTTGCCGCATGAAATTATGATCAAATTGGAGCAGCCAGATGTTTCATTTGTTGATGAATAGTAAGTATCGAAAGAGAAATGTTAATAGAGTTCATATGTACTTACTTCGGTCCCGTTTCCCAGTATAGTGTCGTTCAGTTCAATTAAGTTCAGTTAGTAAGGAATAAGAACGAAATTGTGAACAAGAAGCTTCTCGAACAATGTGTCAGCATTTTTCGATGAGTAATTATCAGGTAAACAACAAATCTAAACATTTTTGTATGTGAGTGAATCCTAAGACGATACAAATATGTTTAATAAACAATAGCGAAAAGCACTAGTGATTTCTACGTCACATAACACATTTATCTTACCTTTTTGCAAATTTGAAATATTATTTAATATCACATAGTGTATCTTATCTTGACAACTCTTCACTGCAAATGATATAGTCTTGGCAACCTTTAAATGAATGTTTACATAAATGAGCTTAACAATAAGAGGAACAAAAATGGTTACAGAACGATAATAAACAGAAGGAAATATTGTCAATGAGCGGAATAGTTCCACATTGCTTATATTATAGGAAGAAGTGAAATAAACAGAGCACTAAATTATCCTCACACACAACAACTGCACTACCATTATTTTGCTGTTTTAAATTTAACTTTCCTTGATGGAAACAAAAAAAAAAAAGTTGAAAGGAAAATTCTGATGATGGACATTTTTGAAAGGTGAAGTCAGACTTTTTTATGGATTCAAGCTTCTTTCATTTCGATAAATTACGTCAAATAAAAATAAGGTAAAGAGAATTCACATCAAAAGAATAAAAACCAATTGTAATTTTAATTATAGAAGAAACACGGTTGAATGAGAAAAATTAATTAATTAATTGGTTTTCTCTTTAGGAAAAAATGGTGATATTTTATGTATGATTCATGAAACATCTTGATGAGTGTCCAGATATTGACGTCCTTTCCCGAGTCCTCAGTTTTCTTAAATGAATATGGGGTAGAAAAGTTGTCTTATCTAAATTTGTATAATAATTTTTGCAAGCAGTTATTAGCGTAGACAAAATATTGGGTTCTGGACTTGTAATTAATTCTGAAGTATAATGCTTTTCTTGATTTCTTGAAAATAAGTGGACAAATCCAATAACCGGAAAAAGAATCATTTTCTATCAGAATGAAAACCACTGGCAATTTGGTCAATAAATCATAGAAGTTAACAGGCTGCAAAATGATAGCGGGAAAAGATGATAGCGTGAATGGTAAACAGACTGAAAAATCAATAAATATTTTATATTCCGGAAGTCCGTGATACGATTACAAAAATCATATTTGATTGCTGACAGAGAGAAAAAAGAAGGAAATTTGTTATTGAAAAAATGAGAGGAGGTGAAGCGAGAGAAGAAAAAGACGTCTTATATTGTAAGAAGTTTCAACAAAAACTGCAATGGTTTGGAGAAAAGTGGTGTGACAACTTCGTTGACAACAAAATATGTGTGGCAAGAATTTGTAGAGTAGCAAGCGCTACTGAACCTTTTATGGGTGAGCTGGTATGAAGAGATGTGTCTAAAAAACATTTTCGTAGTGATAACACTTCTGACAATTAAAAATTGTCCCTTGCTGACGCTGAAAGCACTGATTCTTATCAGCAGTGGTGATTGTCCCTTCATTGCTTGATCACTTTTATATTATTCTAGCTCTTCTTATGGTCAGCAAAAAGATCCAAAGGCGCCGAAAAAGCAGAGAGGAGATCGAGGTATATCTGAAAAATTATGACGACAAACAGCGATTTCAGTTTTTAATAATTCTCAAATTTTTGCTATAATTCCTTTGAAAGAGTTAGGACTAAATTGATTATCTGGCCAGATTGATCAAATTAAAACCGATTGAACTAATCTTCTGAAAGATCAACATATTAAACCAAGTACTTGAGAACATTTTTTTAAAACTAATTCTGACGTTATGAAAAATGCGAAGAGATAAAATAGAAAAAAAAATCAATTGATTCGAGTTACAGAATTTATTAATTTTAAGATTCTCAATGATTGGTAATTGGAGAAAAGACATGAAAGTTTTTATAAGTTTTTTATAAGTTCTGACCGTTCCATTTTTGTCCGTAGAATCAATTATTTAATTAATTTGGTTATCTTTTTGCATACCATCTAACAGCATTTAATATTGCTAGGATCAAAAGGATGATCAGTACATTTAACCTTTCTCTCTCCCAGTAACTTAGTCAGTGACTGGATTCACACACTTATATGTATTGAATCCATTTCGGATCTCATGCCTTGTATTTTGAAACATGTTTCACAGACAATGATGATAAGTACCGCCATCATCGAATGGTAGTGTAATTTGCAATTCTATTCAAAATTGCAGAATGACAGTTATTTGGAGAAATGAGATAAGTTGAAGAATCAGTCAGTCATTCAAAAGCCGAATGACAGTTGTAAGTTAGCTTTACAGGAAAATATTAGAACAGCAAATGCACTTTAAAAATTTTCTTTTTTCATTCAAAAGGGAGCACATCACTTCTTATATATGGGCAAAGAACAAAGAAAAAAATGATTGTTTACTGTACCAAATTATCGGTTTCTTTTGCGGATATTAGATAATCTAATAGAGATAACTTTTGTAATAAGAACAGAAAATGATAAAAAATAAAAAAGAAACGGAAAAAAAAATAATAAAAGCAATCATTTATACCTGCTCTCTCCAACTAACTTAACCTAGAAATCTATAAAGAATAAACTGATTAAATCTAAGCGAACTTTGGATAACTCGAATTAAACTTTATTCATAAATTTTATTAATGAGTAACAAAGATTATTTCTATGTAATAAGACAGTACTTGAGAGAGAGCGAGCGAAAGAAAGAGAAAGTTCTGTGAAGGACTTGGAGACAATTTCATATAAAATTTTTTGAAAAGTTTCTAAAACGATTGAATTTTGATAAGTGAAAGAAAGTAACTTTCACAGAATGTTGTGAGTAGTTTTTGTGCTACATGATGGAAAGCATGAAAACATACTTAAATTTGAACGCCTATAAAAAACTATCAGTTTGGAGGCTGTGTGGTGGTTCATTCCTTCGTTAATTTTTGAACATGAAGACATTTCCTAAAATAAATCTTGTAACATGGAAGTATACTTTCAAATTTATAAGGATCATTCTCGCTCTCTTTTACCCAATTATTTAACCTATCCTAAATCTCTCCATATGGTTCTGCATCTTTCCGCTTGTTTCAGAATTAACTATGGGCATTTTTTATATCACACATCACAAAAGAATGAAAAACATGGAAACAAAAAAAAAACGAAAGGATGTTTTATTTTTCATCCGCAAATCAAAGCTTCCGTCCAAAGCTATAAAAATGAAAAATTATGAAGTAGGAAAATGCTACGGTGATAGTATAATTTAATAATGACTAGAATTGAAATTGATATAATTTTTTGAATTAGTAAGTGATTGCATGATAGTGATCGTTATATACATACTATTAAAAAATTAGGAAGTAAAAGAAAATTCAACGGTAACTGCACTGTATGTGTATGTTGCATTTAATACATTATCGGATTATCGAATATGGCTTATCGAAATTATCTAAAAATCTACAAAAATAAAAAGAATAGAGATAAAAGAGAAATAAATTACCGTTAAAAAAGAAATGAAAAGAATGAATGACATTCTAGAGGAATTTTCGGAATGTCGAAGGATAACTAATATAATTAGTAAATATATTCAAGAATATTTGTGCGATAAAAAAATTGCTGAGTCATTAAGAGTTTTTATTGTAAGCAGTTTCATCCTCTGATTTAATCTGTTCAGCAATTGATTCTCCTTGGATTTTTAAAAAAAATAATTGCTTTGCATAATTGGTCATATATGATTCTCTGCTTTTCCATTAACAGAGTGTTGTAGACCAGTATGAAGTATATTGCTTTCGCTATGGAAATTCACTATTTATTAGAAAGGATTTTTTTTTTTAGAAACTTTGACTTTGATGTAATTGGATGGAAAATGAGTAAAGAAATATTCAGTGAAAGAATTTTGATGAAGATGGAACATACATTAAATGCAAGGGTCTAAGAAACCGGTTCCGAAAATTTTACTCCAACTTTAAAGAATCATGTTAATTTAAAGGTGAAGAATAAGGAAGGGACTCTGAAAAGGCATCAGAGTCGGTTCAAAGGACTGTGCAAGGAGTATGCTATACTGAGATAATGTACACATTCTTATATATATTGTTTTATATATATGTATTTGATAACAGTGTGGTCAAAATTAGGAATTTCTCATGCCTCAAAGTTTTACCTATGAAAATTTCTAAATTCTTCAAAAAATATTGATACTTCATCAAAATCGAAATTAGTGATTCTGAATAACAGCAAGGAACATTTAAACTCGCAAAAGTCTTAAAAATATAGCTGGAGTTATACATATATTTTGAATCCACTGAAATTTGTCAAAAATTTTTAGAAGCTTAATCAGTAAATTACTGGACATACTGGTTTAATGATTAAAATCGAAGGCTTCTTTCACTAAAGACCGAAAATTTATGTTTGGCTATGTTTTCAAATGCATTTGCCTCGTTTTACAGAAAAATTCATCCATGTATTTTGACGCAAAAAATAATTGATAAGTGAATAAATGAAGACGGATGAAGCTTTATTCGCTTAACTGATTTCTATAGTTCATTAATACGTCAAAAATCATTTTCAATTAAAAAACTCATGAAAATCTGTAATTTCTAATTCTCTTTGTTTTCTTGGAGGAGAAAGAATGGGATATTTAGGTAAATAAGTATTCGGTTGCTTTGATGAAAGCGAAATTTGTATAATTATAGTTCTTGGGTTAGGCTTCAATTGAAACGTCTGATTCTAATTTCTTTTTTCACTTCATCAAATGGCAAAAACCTAGCAAATGGCAAAAAAACCTAGCAAATGGCAAAAAAAAACATTTGTTTTATGTTTAAAAAAGGACAAGAAAAAAAATACACATCTCTTTTCTTTCGAGATAATAGTATGAAGATAAAGTACGCATTAGGATACGGTGATCCCATTTCATTCATAAATCTATTTTCAACATCTTCCTAAAAAAAAATTATGCAAAAGTAAGTAGAAGTGCAGTTTCATGTTTTATAGGAATTGTATTAAGCTCAAATTATTTGAATTATGTTTATTTCACCAAAACGTTATGCATCTCAAAGTGTATATTTTGAGCTTTGTGAAATTGGAATTTCTAGAATACAAAATAGAATTTTAGCAGGTCAGGGACCAGCAAATGATTAATTAATATATCACTGATATTAGACAGTGAGAAATTGTGGCTGGGATAATCTTCTGATTGTTAAAATATTGTTAATCAATATGCAGATTTTTAATTGGTTGGGTACATTTACACTTCCAAATTTATATCATTCCGACAGATTACTCATTGTTCTCAGACCATTTCATCTACATTACATTTTACTGTGTGGTTATATTATGGTGAATCTCTTCGATTAGTGTTTCAATTGTCAATCCTTCCTTATTGTATTAAAATAAAAAAAAAAAAAACATTTAAATAAAGTGATCAAACTTTATAATAAAATTTCGCAAACATTTCAAACTTTAATATTTATCAGTGTTTTTTAAATTTCATAGTTTTAGGCAGCTACCACTTTAAATTTGCATCATAAACTTGGAAAATTGGCGCGTAATATTTCACAGATTTTATCGGCTGACGTTGAAGTTACAGTCAATATACAATTTAAAAAAAACACTATGTACGCACGATTCATTCTAAATGTAACAAATTCGGAATGGAAAAGCAAAGAATGCTATATTAACGAGATAGAACACATTTTCCAGAAACAAGCAGATGGGAGGGAAGTCGGGAAAAGCAGGAGAAACACATAGTAACTAGAGGTTCAGGGATGTATATTCTGATACATATTTTGGAATCGCCAGTTTTGCTTTTACAAAAAATTTTTTGAGCACCATTTTCAGGTACCTGACAAACGTAAGAGGTAAGCCCTAAATTTTCTTTTCCACGTTTGGAAACATCAGCAACTTGTCTAAAAGGTATATCAAATTTATGATATGTCCCAATTTATTTCTACAACCTATTGCATACTCGATTGGCATTTCTTGTTTTCAGAGCACTCAATACCTGAGTCGGAAAATTTTGGGTCAGTCATTTGGTCGTTTCTTATCGTATAATTTGAAGCTAAATAATTATGACCATCACTTCTCTTTTGAACGCCTATTTTTCTTTTTGTTTTTTGACAGTTTTTTTTTTTGGCAGTACGCTTCAAATTTTCGGACGACCTAAATTTTTTAACTTCCAGATCAGCTCACAGGGTGGTGTCACTTGCAGGATTCCCAAACCCAGAATCCGTTAGTTCAAGTTTCTTCTGCGAAGTCTCTTTCTGTTTAAGCAAACAGATTTGCAACAGAGGATCACAGCGAATACTATCTGAATGAGGGTGCAACAGGAAGAAGTAACTGGGAGAGACTAGCTGAAACTGGAAAATATCCCCATCATAAAAGCAATTTTCTTTAGTTGTTAAATTGCATTATATTGGGCATTTAGCAACGGGTCTTTATTGAGCAAAGCGTTCCCCACTTCTTCGATCGAACATATGTCTGGCGCATGATGAAATTTACTTTTGTTTTTCAGCCATCAGCTGAGGACGCGGACGAACTGAAGACTGCAGAATTATTTCCAAAAGCACGAATAACATACAATTAGAATATTCAGTAAAAAACAATTTCCAACTGATTTCTAAGAGTGGATGATGCAACAAATTAAATAAAAACCATCACTTTGATCCTCCCCAATTTCAGATTCGTTTTACTGGTCATACAGAATTACCTCAAAAAACCAAACAGATGACTAGTTAAATATTTCAGAAACACTTTTTATATTTCATTTTCAATCTATAGGTACTGCCTCTCTCCACATGCGTTATATGTCCACAATCAAATTCCTGCCTTCATAATATGTCAACAATCAACAATAACATTACTACTGAAAACTCTTTAACGAAAGCAGAACTGCTTCTAATCATTTTTTTTTTTTTTTTGCAAAAGAACCACATCTACTTGGAAATCGCAGACTTATATTGAATTCTTCTTTCTTAATTAAAACGAGATTTTGATACTTTCATAAACTACATCTGTTTATGCGAATGACAATGGATCTACCACTACTGTCCTTAAATTTATATCTTGAAATTAGCGGAAGCTAGAATTTACACACACATCGATATGTCATGTTCTTTTCACATATATTGTGCTGTGAAAACATTTATTTTCAACAAGGAAAAATTAAACAAAAAATCAGAACAACATCCGATGAGGGAACTGATTTTTACCCAAAGCAAACCTGGAGCCCAAATAACCAAAAAGATACTTCTTCTCTGGATGTTTCCGAATCACCTCTAACACCACGTTATCTACAGCTTTTTGATCTGCTTTTCTTTGATCAGACACAGTATACTCCTAGAAAGATAATGCATCAGGAAATAAAACTAGCTATGCTCAAAGCAAGACTGAAATAGTTCATCATTATTGCCGAACACCTATTACAAACATCTTACTGCGGGATGCCAAATTCGTAATGCAAGACGTCTAATTCAAAATACCATGAAAAATGATCCGGGGAACCAAGACATACCTTCCCCAAAAATGAACGGGTAAACAAGCAATAAATTATAAATCAAAAAAAAATTATGAAAAAAACCGATATGAACTTACGGTTGTTCCCTGTGTGAATATATTGGCATCGCCTTTTTTGGGTGCTTTTTTAAAATTGAATCTCCGGAAGTACGCATCATCAATGTGTTCTGGGACTTTCAATCCTGATATATCAAGTTTTGTCTTCGTTGCAATCACGAAAGCCTGGGCTATACGTCGTAGCGGAGTAGAATTTAATTTCATCGGCCCTAGATAAATTAGAAAGTGTAATGACAGTTATTTTCTCATGACAAAATATGTGCTCAATTCATTCAAGACTTCCAAAATTTATTAAAACTTCAACAGGCTCAAACAAATTCTAAAACATTGAAACTTTTCTGAGATCCAGCTTATGAATAATAGCACAACCTCACCAATGAAGATCTTTTTTATATAACTTTTATTAGCGACTGACCTCAGAAAAATCAGTACTTTTGAAAAGCAACAAGAGACTCGATTTTTGTCATAAAAGACTACCTGTCACAAGCAAGAGGCCCGATTTTTCCAGCTGCTTCAGAAAGATAACACGCTTTCCCTTATGTCGCCCAGCGAGTATTATTAGAATGGTGCCGGGGCTGATTGATCGCCGTAATGCTGTTTTTTTGGGGGAACGTTTTGTTCGTCGGGTGGTTCTACATTCTTTTAAATATTTCGGCTAAAACTGATTCCGCAGTAAGAGATTTAAATCATTGACTATCATATTCGAGACAAGAAATTAAAGAAAATAGTATTAGAAGCATAAACAAAAAGTCTTTCAAAGAGCTGATAAAGTAAACACAACCAAACGAAATGAAGAAAAAAATTATAGGCATTAAGACTTGGAAATTCGTGAAAAGTAAAAAGTACCTCCTTCTTGATGAGTACTTTTCGCTCTTTGCCATTCTTATCGCCCCCAATCGGCTTCACCACAAACTTCACTTTGCGTCTCATTTTCTTCTCGACAGTAGGGTATGTTTTCTTGGCATACGCACCACGTTTTGCGTACATCCGTGCAGCAGAAAATCGCATAACTCCCGGTGCTACTTCATAATTATGTCTCATACGTGGTACACGCTTTTTTGCCAGCATTTCTACAAATTGCAACAATATGTAGTAAAAGTAAAGCACTTCATAAGGCGGTCTGCAAGTACATGAACATGCGACACTTCTTCTCAGTTTAAGAACCCGGTACTCCATACACACTGCTTTTTAGACTGAAAAGTTTTTACAGCAAAATCCTTATTACATCGTGTTGTGAAGATACAAAGTTATATGTAAAGCAAACATTTGCATAATGTACTGCGATGCTACTTCATAACGTAAGGAAGAGAAATAATCCTGACGTATCTCAAATTAATTACAGAGGCCACAAATCTAGGCGTAACTCATCCAACCAATACTTCCACACCTTCATCAGCGAGGATAGGGAACCCAAAACTACCGTAAGTTAAGAGAAGTGGAAGAATTGCTATGCAAAATAGCAGCACTATTTCGATTGTGTGATCTAGATGTTTTTGCATCGAAAACAAGTTTATTTCGTGTTTTAAGGGAGGGTTACTGTCACTTTCGATTAAATGAAATGAGGAGTTTTAGGAAATGCAGCATAATATACGTCCGCCGATTTCAAAGTGTCAGCTAAAGACAGTAATATTGCGATGTTTTCACGATCGTTGCGCCGTTCCACGAATTGTCGACGACCCAGAAAGAAAGATGCATCCAGTAACCGATGCCGGGTATAGATATCGATACCATCGACCAGGTATTGACCCTTTGCCTCGATTACCAAACTGCAAGGTACCAGTACATAAGCCTGATTACAAAGTGCGCGATTGCTGGACTACAGCACAAGCAAGGTATTAGTGATTTCTTATTTGTTACGTTTTATTCACCTTTAGGCTATTTACTTATTATTCGAGCAATTAAATTAAAATTGGAAAATGTGGAAGGTGCAGGAGAAAGCGAGGTCAAATACAGGAAAGCTGTAGTCACTGGGATGAAAAATTTTAATTAATTTGTTTTTGAAATTTCAGAATTTATTCTGCAGATTAAATTACTTCTTTGCTTTAAACTAACATTATATGAAGATAGTACACGAGTCACTCGAATTTCTTATCTTTAAACCCAAACTGTTGCAGGTTTGGTGAGAATGACTATATCGATTTATTGGGTGACGGTAGCATCCACCCCGCCCAGCTGCAATACCACGTTCCAGCTTGGCTTCGTGGTTTTCCAGGTCAACATCGAACTAACGAATTGGTGAAATTGATTCACTTCCGGAATTTGCATAAGGAAAAAATGCAAATCAGTTCACCTCGACGGTGGTATGATCTGCAGAAAAGAATCAAATATTTGCTTCAGAAACATAATTACTACAAGCAGGATGAGTTGAGGGATGAGCGTTATTTTGGATTATGGGAGGAGAAACCGGATTATTTCTACAAGGACAAATCTAGAAGGAGCTATCAGGACCTTATTTGATGTCCGCTTTTTTGAAAACTTCTATTGCCTTTCTCGAATAAAAACAGTGGTAGGGGAAAGATTGCATGAGGCAGAATAATTAGCCGATTATATAAAAGCTGTCTCTAACTATATCAAGTACAGTGCTATTCAAATTAGGAAAGAACTTTTAGACTCATAGCTTTAAATGTATTGCATATTGTTGGAAACTTATACCTGAAAAGTTTCATCTTCCAGATAGTTTTCCAGAATTTTTTTTTTTTAATTGATATCTGTGTGTTGGTTAAATTGATATTTAAGTTATTTGTGATTGAGTGAAATAGTTTGTTTTTAAACAATCATTGTTTCATAAGTACAGCAATACAGCAATAGATAAACTTCTTGATGGGTCAATACTATAATATATGAGCTAGCACTTAATGCTTCATTTGGTGATCAATTTATAATGCTGATGAATTCTCTTTTTTCCTTTCGCTTGTCTTTATTGTTTTGGAGAGTTTTACCTCGAAAAAAGTGGACTTTACAGTAGAATAAAAAGGACATTGAGATTTTGATATTCAAACATTTTGAAGTTCTGGGACGTTTATATTTGCTTGTTTCGTCATTTTAATCTTTTATGTACTTTGCTTTCGTGTATTGTGCTATGTATACGCGTTCGCAAAATTTTTTGATTTGAAAAATATGGAACAATAAAAATTAAAGAAGTTTCAGAAAGTATGGTTGTTCGAACGAGTGATGTGGACAAAAATTTCTTCACTCCACGAGACTATCAGGTATTGACATTTCAAATTTTTGAATAACATTCTATTGTCAGTAGAAACTATGGTGGCCTGATGAAGGTTGTTGTTTACCTAACGATTTAAAATTCGGCAGTATTTTTAGTATAAATACTGTAGCTTTTAGTTTATTGTGCATTAAGTATAGTTACTAACAAATAATATGTTATAAATTTTTGTCTTTCTTCCTTAGCAATCTTCCGGTGAACGTAATTCTCAACTTGAGCATTGCAAATGGGTTTGTTGGTCAGTCGTGAATTGTGTTATTTTGATCAAATGTTTTGGTCAAATAAAGGTCAAATATTTTGATCTGCAATTTTAGGAAGCAAGTTAATTCTGGATTCGTTAATTAAACTTTTAGGTTGAATTGTTGGATAAAGCATGTAAAAGAAATATTATTGTGCCTCTCGGGACAGGTTCAGGCAAAACTTTTATTGCCGTTTTGCTAATCAAGGAGTATACTACCAAACTTGTAACGCCATGGAAAAATGGTGGCAAACGGGCTTTCTTCTTAGTTGATAAAGGTAAATATTCTTCTTTTCATACTTGTTAGAAGTCTTGAAAATATTGCGCTTCTGGAAAACTCTATAAGTATATAAAAGGATATTTCGCTAAATGTATAAAAGCTTTTATTTTAAAATCCGGAACAGTATTGAAGGAGTAAATTATTGCATTTGACTAGTTCCATCGTTAATCGTGATTCACGATTAACTGGTGACTAGAAAGGAGAAAAGGTGTTCTCTTGGAAACTGTATTATTGTAATATATCTTATTATGTCATTTTTCAGTTTCGTTAGTTGAACAGCAAGCAGCACATATCGAACATCATACAACACTAAATGTTGGAAAAATGCATGGACATTTAAATCAAGATATTTGGTCAGAACCTGCCAAATTCGATACGTTCATTGCATTACATGAAGTGAGTTCGTAAGGTTTTTTCGTTTATATGCTGCTATTATAGAAATTAAAAGTTTAAAAGTATGGATATTTTCTAAATTCACTTTGAAAAACGCTTTAGCATCCTTATCTTTCTAGGTTACGGTACTAACTGCTCAGATTTTCTTGGATTTACTTGATCATGGGTTCTTCAACATGTCAAATGCCGCTGTTATAATTTTCGATGAATGCCATCATGTATTAGGTAGTAAACACCCGTATCGATTAATTATGCATCGGTATGGACAACTTACTGAAGGTATTTGTTAATCAGTTTAAGAGTGTTAAAGTTTAATTTGTTAACGTTTGAGTGGACTTTTCAGCAAAGAAATTTATAATAACTTGGTCTCTTCCAATTGAACATAATATGTTATAAGTGAATTTGTATTCCTGTACTTGTATTACTTGATGGTATCTTTGGCTTTTACGGGCGAAAAAAGCCAAGAGATTTTAGTTGAAGTAAAGGGAATGATTACTGGTAATATGCATGGTAATATGCACCAGTGAAAAATTGGCAAGCATGAAAGAAATTTTTTTTAATTCACAACGTCAATAAGAATTTTTTTCTCAGCATTATATTTGTGCATGTTCTGCAATGGAGAACTGAAAATATGTTAAATTACAGTGGACAGGCCTCGAATTCTTGGTCTCACGGCATCTCTAATCAGTAGCAAAATACCACCAAGTAATTTAGAGCATCTTTTGGAAAAATTGGAAAGGATCATGCATAGTTCTATTGAAACAGCGAGTGACCTAGTCTCTGTAGGTTTTCAGTGCATTATTTTCAACTTTTTTACAAGTAAATTACTTTGTCACTATATTTCCTGATGAATGTATTCTAACTGATAATATGCAATGTTCTTTTATTTATGTAATAATGTAGGAACTGATATTCCAAAAATAATAGTGTTTCATTGCAATGGTTAGTTTTCTAATATCAGCAATCCGTCTACATCTTTATGATTAGTAACTGATAAGCCCTTTAACATGTTATATATCTCGTTTTGCTAAAAAGTTTTCGTATGTTAAAATATAAATTGCCGTACGTTAAAACTAAATGAAATTGAAACTTTTCGAACTATATCGTTTTCAATGGACTATCATTGGTTATAAAGTTTTCTAAAAATGCTAAATTCTATAATACAAGTACAATATAATAAAAATGCATTCAGATTTCTAAGTATGGGGCCAGACCGAAAGAGTATGTTATAATGTGCCACGATTTCTTCTGTTGTACATGCGAAACTAGCAAAAAAGTTATCAGTACTTTGGTAAACCTTTCAGTTCTTTTTTCATTCTGACCATTAAGCTGTTTCATTGTTGTATTCCAGTCGAATAATTTATTTAACGATAGGTAACGATAGCTTCACTAAAAGTTTATATTTTAGCAGCTACAAATGAGCTGAGGCGATTCGGTTATAGACAGAATTCCTATCGGTTGTCTTGATTATCAATTTTCAAAAATAAAAGTCAAGAATTATCGAATTGGAAAATTAAGACTTCTTTTAGTAAATCCTAATTTTTTGAATTTAAAATTTTTTAGGAAAGTTTGCGTACATTTTGTTTGAAATGTACTGAATTTCATCCCGAATTTGATGTTGATCCGAGGAAACCTGTTCTTGAAGCAGTTAGTCGAACGAAATCTGTTTTGGAACAACTTGGACCATGGTGCGCATGGAAACTTTGTCAGGTAATTTAGGTCAAATAAAAGAGATAATATAGACTGTAAGCTTAAAATAATGTAAATTTGGAAGTTTCCATTCCTTTATTCCATTAACATCCCATTAAATGATTAAGCTAAAGTTCTTTCTGATTGAAGCAAGGTTTAGGTGAGATTAGTGGAATTTTCTTTTCATTTATGTATATTGTGTCGTGAAATACTGTCTAGTTCCAGTAGTTTGTAGAATCAAATAGGGAGTACTTTGCAAAGAAGGAATGTTCGAGATCAGTCTTTATTTTATTGCGGTAAAGATTATTGTTAATCGAAGTATTGAACAGTATTAGAAAAATTGAGGAAGTAGATCTGGAGAAGCGGAGAAAACGCACGGTATCCAGAAAGGCGATGATGAAAAACTACTACCTTCTTTTGTATTTGTAAAGAATAGAAATGGTTTACAACAAAGCGTATGATTACCGTGAGTAAAAAGCTGCTCCTCTCGGATGATCTTTACACTTTATACAGTTGGATTTTACGATTACATCAGTTGTTTATAATTGAATGTAAGATCAGAATACACAATTTTTGAACCCCATAAGTAAATCTGTTTGAAGACAAAGGTAACAGTCAAGTGTGAGTTTGGCCAACAGGTCGGAAAATCATGCAAATAAAAATTAGTAATTTTCAACACATAACCAATGCATATATTCTTTGTTAACAAATTCTAAAATTTCAGACAAATGAATATTGGATGAAGGATTTCTTAATTAAAACATCTAAGGCTTATTCAAATAAGACTGTATTTAGTCTTATAAATTTAATACAAATTTATTTCAACATATTATATTCGTTTTTTCTAACATTCCCACTGAAGGGAATTCACTTTGAGATGAAGACCTTCAAGAGGAAAAATTGAGTACCTTTGTTTGAATACGTTTTTTTATAGCATTTCTAATATGAGGAACATCATATTCTTCTTCATCGATTTCCTGAACTGATTTGTCGAACATTTGCTAATTGAGTTTTTGAGCCTCTTTCGTCACTGATTTCTAGAGGATACAGCATTATTTATTGGTATGTTACAGAGGGGAGTCTTCCTTGTGATAAGTCTAATTCCAAACCACGGAAACTTCTAGTTCGTTGACTAACATTTCTTCCTCAGGAGATGATCAGGAGGAATTTTCTCCCCACAGACTAAGTGCCAAAGGAAAACTTATTAAGTACTGAATCAAACACCCTGAAGACCTTGGATACATTTTGGGATATAGAGATATATGAAAAAATGAGTATTTAATTCATTTTCGAGAACGAACGAAAAGAGAATACTCTCCTCCAAGAAAAAATGCAATCTTCAAAGTTTATGTAAATCTACCAATGTTATTAATTCTCCTCCCGCCAATAACTTTCTACGAATGGCTTTTTTATTTCTCCTTTGGTTATTCCAATTATTCTCTCGTAAATTATGAGTTTCTCAATTTTTGTTCTTCACTCCATGAGGCTCTTGGTACGTTGTTCTTTCAGATCATTCCTTTATTTGCTCAGAAATCTATTATGTGTTTCGTTCCATAGTGGTCAAGAAAATTTTCTCCCTACAAAGTAAGTGCCAAAGAAAAACTTATTAAGTATTGGATACAAACACCGTGAAGACC